ACACCGGTTTCAGTTTCTGGGTTTCCATCAGCATCAGTGGTAGTGAAGGTAGTGGTGTATTCGGTACATTCTGGACAGGCGGTGGTTGATGATTCATCAGTGTTTGAGGAATCATCGGTACTTGAAGCACCATCAGTAGCACCACCATTGTCACCAAGATCGACACCAGAATCATCAGATGAGGTTGGAGCTGATGAAGATTCTGAAGAAGCATCAGTAGCAGAGGATGAACCGTCAGTTGATGAAGCGGCTTCTGATGAAGCAGCAGCGGATGAAGAATCTGATGAGGCATCTGATGAGGAAGCAGCTTCTGATGATGAAGCGGTAGATTCAGTTGAAGTTTCAGATGATGATGAAGCACAATCAGACCAACAGAAATTTGGTAAGATATTACTATCGGTACCTAAAACGGATAAGTCGAGGGAACCACTGATATCAAGGTTAGCTAAACCTAATAAATCAATACTTAAACCACCTTCAGCAGAGAGGTCGATCAAATCTCTTCTCATTTGTTGTTTGAATTCAATTTCTTCTCTCTTTAAGATTGATGAAGCAGTATTTGCTAAATCTTGTTCTAAGTTATATAAGAAGTTACTTGGGAAAAGATTTTTGATGTCATCTAATAATGGGATATCGATACCAGCATCTGCATCAATATTGATATCAATATAGAAACCTTCTGGTAAACAGAATAAGTCTCCGTGAACAGTAGCATTAACAAGAATACCAGCAGACCATTGGAATAAGTTACCAATGTTACCTTCGGATTCGGCACCAGCAATTAATTGAACATCGTTTGCACCTACACCTAAACCACCGATAACAGCAGTACCAGCATTAACACCGAATAAGCCTAATAAATCGGCAGCGATAACGGTTTCAAAGTTAACAGTAACTTTAAATAAATCATTAGCTAATTTTTCAACATTTGAAACGGAGAAATCAGCTTTTGGAACTAAATCAGCTCTTTTGACTAATTCAGTTTTTGGGGCTTGTTCCAAATCTCTCTTTAAAAGACCAAAAGAAATATTTAAGTCTTGTTGAATACCAAAAATTTCAATTTCACTTGGAGAACATTCACCATCAGCTAAAAGATTTGGTAAATTTATTGAAAAGTCAAAACTTTCTTCAAATTGACCACCAATAAGTGAGGCTTTGGTCAATGAAGCCATGGAAGCAACAGTAGTTGCTGATACAAGTTTTGAAAATAACATTTAACGAAAGTGTTTAAAAGATTGGGGGTATCTATTTAAGCGAAAGTAAGAATCTATAAAACTTCGTTATTTGATATAACTCGAAAGGTAAAATTAAGGAATTTAATCATAATTTATAGTTTCTTTCAAGGCTTTATTGAAAACATAATAGTTCGATTAAAGTTAGTAAATTATTTATTGTTTTGTTTAATGAAATTAATTTATCAACAAAGTTTTTCAGGTAGTAGAACTAACGAATAATAGAAATTTGATTACTTTAGGAAATCAATTGAAAACCCTTTGTTGAAAATTCCAATTTCATAACAATTTAATTTGCAATTACATGTATATTACAATTACAATTTTTGAAATAGGATCCCGAAATAAAATTCTATTGTATTTTATCAATATTTAGTCCAAACTATTTTGAAAAAGGGTTTCAAACTACCAAACTTAGTATCTAATTTAACAATAGGCTAATTGTTTAAATTATGCATGAATTTTCAAATTGCACGAATCTTAAATTTTGGGGCTAAAGTTGTAGTGATATAATGCGAACAATAGTAAATTTTATTTGTATGAAATTTTGGCCCATTGAACTAATTACGAAAGATTTAAAAGATTGTTAGCGTAACCCTAGAAGCAAGTCCGCTCGGAGACTAGTTATTAGCCCCGTTTTGTGTTTCATTTCTCCAGGGTTTTACATAGTAAGTTATTTCAGATATAACCAGCTTCAAACATTTGAAGTATGAGAGTTGAAATTTCCCCTCTGTAAGTATTAAGATTTAAAATTTTAAAATTAGTAGACGAGCTAAAAACTAAAACCTTGTTTCCACAAACGGAGATTTGATTGAACATTGACGCAAATACTAGCCCATCATCAGGGTGTTTGTTTTTCAATTTGACGAGAACTGATTTTGAAAATATTCGCGGTTGTGAGAACAATACATCTTGTGGTTTAACAATGTAACCTCAATTGGTCAAGCAATTACTATAGTAGGCCTACTATTGTAGCCCAAGATTTTGTCACGATATTGTGATTGTTAGCGATTGAACCTTTTGTTATGTGACTCCTTGAAACCGCTTCTAAGTAAACAAAATAAATAGTAGTTTGATTGTTAGTGAAGAGGTGTTTACCTATCAATATTACGTGATTCTTTGACATTTTTTCGTGTCTTCAGGACCCCTTGTCGATTGAGGGTCTACCAGGGGTAAAGTTACTGAATCTAATCTCAAGTCCAGCATTTTGATGACATCAATTCAGAATATTATTTCAGACCAGAATTTTGGGGCCAACATTTCTTTTAGGAGAAACAGTAGCCCATATTGCTTCTCCGGACTCTTTGCCTCTTCGGGTATGAAAATCCTTCATCAAATTCACATTCGTTTCAACAGTATTCCGAGATTTCAATAACATTTTCAAAGTATTATTGGAAGTGTCTATTAAATTATGGTGATTTCATCTTACTTTATATACTATAGGACCCTATCTATTCACACAATCCATAAACACGTATCTTTTTTTTTTTGCATTTTTTTTTTGTTTATCTTTTTTGACGATTTTTCAGATTTATAACCATAATTATATTGTGAAAAATGTAAGTTTTGCAAAAAACGAAAAAAAAAAGAAAAATCAAAATAAAATATTAAACGATATCAAGTGATATTGGAAGCATAACATTGGTATTATAATTGATGAACAGAGTTTCTGGTTAGTGGTAAGGACTCGGAATCGAGATCGAAAGGCTAGGAATGAAATATCATGTTGCAAGCATTGAAAAATTCCGTTTGCAAATGTAAAAAGGAGAATGCTGCATCGATTGTTTGCTCCATTTGACTCTTCAAATCAGATCGATGTAAAAGAGACTTAAATTTCATGCATCTGTAACGTATACTTTGAATCTAGAATGGCTGCAAAAAACCAAAAGTACCTTGAACCGCGGCACGATGTTGATTGTATCACACATGCAATACAATTCAGGATCTTCACTGAGGTTGCTCATGGTCAAAGATAAGCATATAGCTGTTGATCGTCCCAAACCCATGACTTTTTCCTTCATCTGGTATTTTGTGGAGGTCTGATTCCTAATGCGTTCCCGTAACTACCTTTGATAACTACTGAGGTTGTGCCCTTATGATAAATATCTTCTTTATTCCTTTAAATTTTGTTTCCTCAATGCTCATTACTCTAATGGAATATTCATCATGATATCAAGTATTAGATTCCATTCAATAGCAGAAACATTGATCATATGAAAAGTCACGTGAATCAACGGAAAAAAATTCTGTAATAGAATCTCATGGAACAAAATTTTTTTGCCATTTTGGAAAGGATTTAGAATTTTTAAGAAGTTGAGAAGAAGATTTATAATCTAAGAAGATTACAAATATCAATATTCTTTATTCTTTTGATTAATCAACTGTACAAGTAACTTACACAGAAAGGTTTTCATAACATAAGTAAATATTCAAAGCTTATAGTTCCAGAATTGCAAAAGAAGAAATTTTTTCATTAATAGATCAAAACCTTATCAATTAAGTACAAAAGTAATATAATAATAGTATAACATAATGGTTAAAGATTCCAAATTCTACGATTTATTAGGAGTCTCAGCTACTGCTTCAGAGACTGAATTAAAGAAAGCTTATAGAAAAGCAGCATTAAAATATCATCCAGATAAAAATCCATCACCAGAAGCCGCTGAAAAATTCAAAGATATTTCAAGAGCTTATGAAGTATTATCGGATGATCAAAAGAGAGATATCTATGATCAATATGGTGAAGAAGGTTTGAGTGGAGCTGGTGGCCCAGGAGGAATGGGTGGTATGGGAGCTGAAGATATCTTTAGTCAATTCTTCGGAGGTGGATTCGGTGGTATGGGAGGTCAACAAAGAGGACCAGCCAAAGGTAAAGATATCAAACATTCAATCAGTTGTACATTAGAAGAATTATACAAAGGTAGAAATGCCAAATTAGCTTTAAATAAAACCATATTATGTAAAACTTGTGAAGGTAGAGGTGGTAAAGAAGGTAAAATTAAACAATGTTCATCATGTCATGGTCAAGGTATGAAATTTGTAACAAGACAAATGGGTCCCATGATTCAAAGATTCCAAACTGTTTGTGATGTCTGTCAAGGTACCGGTGACATCTGTGATGCTAAAGATAGATGTACCACTTGTAAAGGTAAAAAGACCCAAAGTGAAAGAAAAATTTTACAAGTTTCAATCGATCCTGGTATGAAAGATGGTCAAAGAATTGTTTTCAGTGGTGAAGGTGATCAAGAACCTAATGTTACTCCTGGTGATGTTATTTTCGTTGTTGATGAAAAACCTCATGAAAAATTCACTAGAAAAGGTAATGATTTATACTACGAAGCAGAAATTGATTTATTAACTGCTTTAGCTGGTGGAGATGTTGGTTTCCCTTCTGTATCTGGTGATTTTGTTCAATTCTCCATCTTACCTGGTGAAGTCATTGCTCCAGGTACTACTAAAGTTATTGAAAATCAAGGTATGCCAATCTATAGACATGGTGGTAGAGGTAATTTATTCATCAAATTCAATGTTAAATTCCCAAAGAATAATTTCACAGACGAAGAAACTTTGAAAAAATTAGAAGATATCTTACCTCCAAGAAATAAACTCGTTGTACCAAAAGGTGCTGAAGTTGATGAATGTGATTTAGTTGATGTCGATCCTTACAAACACCAAAGTGCCGGTAGACGTGATGCTTATGATTCTGAAGAAGAAGATGGTCAAGGTGGTCCAGGTGTTCAATGTCAATCTCAATAGATTAATTTATTTCATTTGATATACAAAGTATATTTATGTCTATCTCTAATTCTATGTATATCTATACCTTCCCATTCTCTATAAAATAATGAAACCTTCCCATTCTTTTGAGTTTATTTATGCTCTTTTCTTTTTAATATCAAAACGACTAATAATAACAGATCACTAAATAATCCCATAGCTGCCCAAAATGTATAACAACCCCCTAATCCCATAGCCTTTGTCATTTTTGAAAGTACACCAGTACCCAATGCCGCCAATAAGCATCTAACCAAATTCATCAACGATGCTGAAGTTGACCCTTTTGATGGATGCAAATCGACAATTATAGTCGTACAAATTGAAATCAAAGCAGTGGAACTGAATGATACCAAACATGTGGATATTATGATGGATGATATATTTTTCTTAAATTGCAAACACCAGCCAAAGATCACTAACCCCACAAATGACATAATGATAGGAGGGATGCTAACAATTATCCTTGCCTTTAAGGCATTGAATTTTGGTTTATGTTTGACATCATGATATTTCAAATCATGTTGATTTTTACGATATCTGTACATCATATCCAAACACTTCCCGGTTAATATTGACCCAATGAAACAAGTAACACCTTGAGGTAAGTATATGAACCCCACCTTCAAGACACTATAATTGTAGCCATCACCTTCCAAAAGTGTAAGGGATGTAAGTACCATTGTCCATGAAGCAAATTGGATCCCTGCTGGAAATAAAACACATATTGTTTCTTTATGGACTAAGATCTTAAATGGTGCTAATAAGTCCAACTTTTTCTTGGGTGATAAAGTTGATACATCATTGGTCAATCTCTTCTTATAATGGTTCAAAAGAAATATGGGCAGATAGTTCAAAAATGATTTTGCTGGTACTGATCCATTTCCTACAATTGTTCTCACCGTTTCAGGCAATATAAAACTTATAATGATCAACGTCACACCACTTCCTATGGCTAAAAAAACGAAGATACCTCTCCAGCCAAAACCAGAGATCAATGCAGCACCTACTAATCCACCGAAAGCATTTCCTGTAAGTTGTAAACCGCTAACTGTCCCAACAAATCCACCTCTATCAGCAGCTGTACAAATATCACCACTGACACCCAAACTAATAGCAATTGTTGGTGCTATCCCTATCGCTTGCACACACCTTAAGAACGTCAATAGCCAGTATACATTTGTTTGGGAGATAGCGATATTTGCGGCAATGAAGATCAACATAGATGCCATGATGACGGGTCTTCTACCTAACGTATCGGCAAAATTACCAGAAAATGTTGGGGCAATTCCTTGGAAAACCAAATAAGCTACAACCGATAAGTCAGTTACAGAACTAGTCAAGTGGAATTCTTCTGAAATAGTTGGTAAAGCAGGAAAGTATATGGGACTGGAAAATGTACTCCAGAATCCTATAAACGATAATATCAACATCAATACAACCTTCTCTCTATGTGTGTAAATCGTGAAAGGTGGTTGATCTTGAAGTGAAGTAGTTGATTCGTTGGTGGACTCCTTTGAACCCTTTGTGGAGTCCATGTTCACCAGTTTGTCAGGTTTAGACGGTGTCGGCTCAGGACCAGACGTTTTTCCGATGTTCTGATCTTCCATGATATTCATCAATAATTATTCATGTGTAAAATTTCCAAATATTTGATTCAGCAAATTATTCAGAATTAGTCACTTGCAAACCTTATATTGGGTTTTGTCAATTATTTGTACTAATGATAGGGAGTCAGGTGCACGGAGATAAATGGTGAGACGTAATCAGGATAAACGGATTTTCCGCACCTGTAACGGTTTATTTACCGCTCCTTAGCGCATAGATCTGCCATTTAGATCTTGTGATGGTTAATTATATAATGATTCATGATCACCACCATAGGTATTCACATAACATGACTCAGTTATCGGTCAGAGTGTAGAACAGTTTAAACTATTATATGGGTATATATTATATGCAATCATTTCTCTTTAGGAATATTATATTTCCTCGCAGGAGGATTCTTAGGAGTACTTATCATGAAATTTATGTTCTTATTGGCTTTATGCTTCTTGTGTGAATGCTCGTCTTCTCTTTCCTTATCTTGGGGAACAAGAGACTGATGAGGAACCATGGGGGGATATGAAGTACTTTGACCAGGCTGATTTGAAACGTAATAGTGATATTGTTGGGGTATGAATGTGGGTGGTGGGTAAGGTTGGGTTCCTGGGGGAGGTGGACCATACATGATGTGATATTTCTGTTGGTATGGCGAGCCCAATGATGAAGAAGTAGTCGCAGCTGAAGGAGCACTAGCTTCATTTGAATTACTATTTGAAGGTAAATTACCAGGAATGATGCCATTTGGAGGAGGTGGTGGATAGTAGATTGGATAAACTCCATTATGGTAGTTTGGTTGCATGTTGGGTGAATGTTGATGGGAATAATAATTCGGGGAATGTGCACCACTACCAGTTTCGTCATGTCTATGTGGAGTTGGCAGTTTGGGAGGAGACCTTATGGGTGATACAAGTGTACTAGTCGAGCCTTGACGGACGGAAGATATTTCACTGTCCTGTTTGCTGGTTTGTTCAGTTTTAGAACCGGCTGATGTGCCTTCAGATTTGAAGTCCGGTCTAGTATAATCCGAATAACTTCTTTTCTTTGATTCACTACTTCCAATGAACTCATTTGTATTTTCTTTCAAATCATTCAAATTAGCACGTACATCTTTGACACTACCACTGAATAAGACTGGTATCAAACTACTATCGATATTCATTGACTTAGCCAAGTTTAACAATTGTAGAGTAGTTGATGCATAATCTATCCTCATCTCTTCCTGTTTAGTCTTTTCCTGTTCAATCTTCAACTTCAATAATTCCGATAAGGTTTCGTTACTATATGGCCAAACAATTTCATTTTTGGGTAAACCCAATAAATTATTCATTGTCTCATCAACAAGTAACTTATTGTTACTAGATCTCCAACTAGCTTGGATTTCTGAACCTCCAGGGGAATTCTTGATATCTTTTGGTGAATCAGGATTTGACACTGTGCTTGAACTAGTTCCTGCATTGGATGCTTTGTATTCCTTGTGAAGTGTTTCAGTTATATCGGGTAACTTCTCATTACTTTCTTTCATGATCTTATGTAAAGTTTCAGCATTCATAGATGACTGATGTCCGTAATGTCTATATCTTGAACGATCAATATTCACCAGCTTCATGCTTGGTAATAAATTACTTGGAGATTCATCATTATCGATGGGCACTTCCGTATTAATGGTAACATCACCGGCATTTTCATTCTCAGCCTTGTTTGAATCTCTAAAAGTTTTCACTATTTTTTGGATTGGGACTGCTTTCTCTACAGTTGAGACCCCCCTGTCATCTCTATCATTATTTTTGTCATTATTGGTGTCATTATTAGGTTTGTGTGTGTCGTGATCTGTGGTGTCATTAGTTTCATTATCATTAGTAAGATTGAGAGGTTTTTGTTCAACCTTTTCCTTTATATCGGGATGATTCAACAAACCATTCTTTAATTCAGTTGTATTGAGCACCGAAAGATGATTTTTTGGATCACTTAAATTAGGATCATTCATTAGACTAGTTATCGATATCAACTTGGAAACCACTAATTATTTGAACGAAGGGAAGGAAATTGAAACAAAATCAACTGCTACAAATTTGAATATATGATATATCGTGATATGAAAAGGTGTCAATGTTATTGAAGTAGTTCGAATATTTCGGGGTATAATAGGTATTATATGATATAAAAATTGTAACGTATCTTCAAAACAGATGTCGAAATTGTTACTTTGATATTGGGAACCTCAATAGAAATACCAATTGATTTGGTGAATACTGATTTATGGCGAAAAGGGTGAAATCAATCCAAAATTATGGTTTAAAGGAAATTTAGGGGGGGGAATTGTAATTTATATTAACAACGTCAAATCATCAAGATAATTTTTTTTGCAATTTTCTCACTCTTTTCCCGAAAAGGAAACTTCACATATGCACCTTTATGCATTGTAATTTTGAAAAGCCAATAGGTATCCAGGACACTTCCGTTTTACGACAAATAAAAGGCTATTATTCCTTAATTTGTCAGGATCTCATATCTTAGATAGCTATTCAATTTACTTTGAATATAATGAGATCCTAACATTTATTATCTAAATACATTATGTAGACGTGATGATTGTAGAGCAGCGTTACTGAATCAAAAATGTAATTGATCCAAGTTCATCTATGTATATTCCCAACTAAGTAGGTCAATCTCTACCATCAATTATGGTTTTTTTTCGAACTGCGCTTAATTAAGCAAAATTACATGAAGTGAAATATATTCAAAAAAAGAATTAATTACATTTCCCAAAAGGGTAATTTCTTTGATTCTCTAAACTCCTTAACTCACATTGGGAAATAACTCAAACACATGTCGAATAGAACTTATTAGAATGAATAAGACACTTTGTCACCACGGAAATAGGAAGATGAAGTCAACATCTGTTCATTTTCATATGATCTTGTTAATTTTCGATATCGGATTTTTGTAATCTGACAAAAGATTCAGATGGTATGAAGTCATTTCAGTAAAGTTTGACAAATAGGTAGTGGATGACTTCAATCATTGCTTGCCCATCCCATAGCTACTCCTCATACTCAACAAAATTTTCTCCCTTTAAAACAATAGCGTACATTACATTTTTTAACCCCGATGGGTACAAAAGAAATTGCATTTTGTAATTGAATACCCAATTACTAGTAAAAAGCAAACACCCTGTATAGAGAAGATGACAAACACTTTTAAAGTTTATTGTTTCAATCTTTTGGAGTAAATTTGGGGAGATTTTCTAAAAATTCCCCTTTCGCTTTATCTTTACCCCTTGCAAAATAGGCTAAAAAGATTTAGTGCGAACACTGATAAAGGATGGAGAAGATTGGTGATGACGCTAACAAAAAGAAATTGATTCTAGTTGCCATCGGAGGACCTTCTTCTTCAGGAAAAACAACTATAACCAAAAATTTGGTCAAATTGTTCACAAGCTGTAAAATTGTCCATCAAGATGATTTTTATAAACCTGATGATGAAATCCCTTTAGATCCCACAACAAATGAACAGAATTGGGATCATCCTGATGCCATTGATTTCCATAAATTGAAAAATTTCATCAAGAAGATTAGAAAATATGGATCATCTGAAGTGAATGAAAAATTTGATACTCTAGAACCTGATATCAAAATCAAACTTAGCGAAGAAGAAATTAATCACTTGAAAAAATTGGTAGATAAATTCGAAAATTATGATCTTGTCATTGTGGATGGATTCATGCTATTCCACGATGAGGAGTTGGCAAGATTATTTGATTTGAAGTTGTTTTATTATGCTGATTATGAAACTCTTAAAACAAGAAGAAGTAAGAGGAAAGGTTATTCAACGGTGGCAGGATTTTGGGTTGATCCTCCCAACTACTTTGATGACTATGTATGGCCAGCGTACGAGAAATTCCACAAGCATTTATTCGTGGATGAAGATGTGAGTGGCGAGTTGAATGAATACAGTAAATCTCTTGAAATCAGAGGTTACAAGAATAGCGATGATTCAAAATTGGCCGACATGGTAGAATGGTCAATCGGCCAATTATCAAGATACATTGATAGCAAATAAGGGGATTATAAACCTAAACAAGCTTTCTATATACGATCATATTATAGATTATAGAATAGATATATTGATAAAAATTATGCATTTTGTTCTATTTATACAATGGCTACTTTTTCGATTTCTTTGATTTTGATTTCTTAGCCTTTTTAACATCTTTCATTTCTTCTTCATAAATATCAGTGGCGTTTTCTTTCTTTCTCTTGATTTTATCATTTTTAACACTGACTACACCGTTACCTTTGATAACTTTATCTAATTTATCATTTGACCAATTTTCGTCATCAGCAATTGCATATTTGTCTAAATTAAGTGCATTGATCAATTCTCTTTGTTTCAATTTCAAGTCACTCAAAACTTCTTCCCCTTCCTTTTGTAAATCATCATTATTCACTGTTTCAAAGTTTTCAAATTCACCTTCCAATTTCTTGACGCTTTCATCTTCTAACACCGGCATAGCTTCTTCGATGGACTTGTTAAGAATATTTCTGAAGTGATTGGAGAACTTTCTAATGATTTTAGCAAACATTGCCATAGCTTGGTTATTTGGTAAATTTAATTCTTTGGCGATATCATCGATATTTTTATGTTGTAAACCAATAGCTAATAAGATAGCAGATTGAACTGAAGACAAGCTTACTTCTTTGGTTTTAGAACTGAAGAACAATTTTGATAATAATGGTAACATATCAACGATGACATGATAGTCCAATAAATTATTGGCGTAAGAATCCAATCTTTTCAAGTCGAATGGAGATAACAACTCATCCAATTCAGTTTTACTCAATTGTTTTACGACTTTGTTATCTTCTAACTCAGTTGATTCGATAACACTCAAACACTGAACAGAAGAGAATTTTCTGAATTCATACGATAATAATTGTAAGAATCTTTTATGGAAATCTTGACAGAATTCTTTCAACCACTTATCATCTCTGTTTTCCAAAACATTAAGCATCACTGCTGTGTGTTCCCCGGTCAATTCATTGGCAGTCTGTCTCAAATAAACAGGAGCGAAACCTGATCTCTTCCAGAATTTGTGTAATTGAGGAGTTAAACCATACGAAACACCTAAATAGTGTAAATAGTATGGAGGTTTTTCAGATAATTTCAATAACAATGGGGGTAAAGTTTTGGCATCTCTCAATTTGATTTCGTCTTTCAACGAGGCATGCTCGAGTTCTTTATCAGTGATTCTAGTGATTGATTGTTCTCTCAAGCTATTATTTTCATTGATATCAGTGAACTTGCCTTCATAATAATCTTTTAATAATTCTAAAGCTCTTGAACCATAACCCATACTTGCATATTCGGGGTTGGTTGCAATTCTAACAATTCTGGCTCCAGATAATGAAGCAAATTCTTCATCTTGGAATTGTTGAGAGATCAACCAAGGAATTAAATCACCACCAGCTCTTTGACCTCTTGATAATGATTTTCTTACACTGTCTTTAGAAATTTCACCTTCCAAAGCCAATTGAATAACAACCAATGGATCTGGAACTTTATTACCTTCACTTGGAGGTAACAAGACAAATAATTGATGAGCAGGAGCATCACTCATTAATTGTAAATCATTTGGAGAATTCTTATAATGGGAAGCAACGTAAAGGGCCATCATCTTTTCTAAGAAAGTTTCTGATACTGGGTGGTATGAGAAAAGCGTATCTCTGTTAACATAGAATAAATTACATTCGGAAGGATGAGGCATACCTCTTGAAGCAAATTTGGAATTCTTACTGATTTTCACATCGAGACACAATAATTTGTTCAACCATTTTTCAACAGGATCCCCTGGAGCATATCTGATAGGTTCATCCAAAACAACTTCTCTTAAATCTCTTGCAGTAACAGAAGGAGTGACATCTTTGGACTTCTCATCCCTTGAGACAACAACGGTGTCATTGCTCTTTGAGATTGATTGATCACGTAATTGTTGGATTAACTTCAACGATAATGATCTTCCAGTACCTTCATAACCATTAATGGTGGATGCCATGAAGATTAAGTATGGTCCCATCAATTTTTTGACTACAGGTAAAGGAATAGCCGCAGCTTCATCAATAATCACCAATTCTGCTTGTGATAATAAATGATGATCGTTTGGTTGAATATATTGAATGACTTGACGATGATCACGTTTAACATCTACTCTAACAATAGCATTATTGAAAGCTGCGCTTGTGGATTGAATGATATCGTAATCTAAATGCTCAGTATAACCTAAGGCATCAAAACCTTTAAAGATGAATTCGAATAAGGTCTTCAAATTTTCTGGAGACGGTGAAGTAACATAAATGTTAGAGTAGCCTTGTGAAATAGCAGCAGCAATAGAAATACCTAAAGCAGCAGATTTACCTCTACCTCTACCTGCAGTCAAAGCAACTGTAGTTCTTAAAGTTTTCTCTGTTATGACATCAATGAAGGTTAAGATAGCTTGAGCTTGATTAACAGTTTTAGCCAATGACACCAAATTACCAGCGGGTTCTACATCTGCTAAATTTTCTTTTAAATCAATCAATTCTTGAGCTTTAGGGGTGATTTCGTCATCATCTTTTGGTGGTAATGGTTTGACATGTTTACCTCCTGAGATAGGTAAAACGTTCAATTCGTCATCCACAACCAAACAATTAGCACAGGAACCTAATGACAATAAGAATCTTTCATTAAATCTTGCAACCACATCATCATGAGCTTCAGTTCTATAACGGCTATGAATATCCATAGTCATGGTATAAAGTTGTTTTAAAGAAGTCATTGATTTCAATAAAATAACAACTAAACCACCACCTTCGACAGTTTCAATGGTTCTGGCCAATAAATTTGGGGTGATGGCTTCAAAATCTTGTAAAATACACATACCATAAGTGTTACCTAAGATTTTTTCAGTTTCTTTATAATAAACATATCTGATATTTTGATTGGAGATGAAGGCTTCGAAGGGATCTTGTTCATTGACTTCTCTAATACCTCTTTTAATGTCTTTCTTAATCTTAGCTTCACGTTTTTGTCTATGAGATGTGAAACCCAATAACTTCTTCTTATAGGCCCATAAGACTGATTTGTTCATCTTCAAGTCAGCGGACATCATCAAATAGTGAAGATTTGGTAATTGATTTTTTGCCTTATCCCCGACAATAAAGAAGAAACTTCTTTCCTTCTCTTGAACCCCATTACGGATCAAAGCAGGGATTCTGGAATCAATAGCTTTTTTACCCATTATCTTTACTAGCTTTAAAATTTTGAGACTGAGATTAACGATGAGAAGATGAGTAGTGGTGCTACCGATCTCTTAACTATGTAGACTTTTTAACTTGATAGATTGATGGGACATTGGGGAGAAAGGTCTTCAAAAATAATCAAGCAAAACTTCTACATCTATATTTAGTCAGTCAAATGCTTTTGGACCCGAGTTTAAGTAATTTTGTCCCAGTTAATAACTGTTTTTTCGAAAACCGCCATATCTCGGTGATACATTTTTTGCAGCTAAAAAAAAAGCGAGCGGTTATTTTTACAAACCACAGATACCTTTTGGCACAAACCAATTTTAGTACGCAAAATGGCAAGAACCAAGAAGTCACTGAGCAAGAAGGGAAGAAAGCTTCCAAAATCCAAACATCAACCAAAAATTTTAGCCATTGAGGAGCTTTCTGAACAAAATTTGATCACCAATAGGATTGAGGCTGCTAATGATGAAAATGATAGCCATGAAAGTTATGATGATAAGACTTTATCCATTGATGATTATGAATTCAAGCCTAAAATGAACCAGGTTGAAGTCCCTGCTAATTTACCTTTAGTTGAATGCAAAGGAAAGACTAATGGGAAGAAAAAGGTAGCACCCAGATCAAGTGAACAATTCAAAATTGGTCCTAAGTTCAATGATACTGAAGTCCATAGAAAGATTTATCTTTCAGGCACCAATGAACATGTTATTCCTGTTTTAGACGTGAGAATTGATAGAGGATTCGATTTCATTGAAGATGAGTGGATTGGGTACAAGAGAAATTATTTCACATTAGTTTCAGCATTTCAATTTTTAGGGAAAGACAACAGTTTAGTCTTCAATGAAAAATTTCATGTAGTAGACAATTCTGGCAATGAATTGAATCTCAGATGCTTTGCCTTGAGATTGGTATCCAATTGTTGTGAAGAAAATATCAGGGTAAATTTGATTCAACATACGGCAAAAAGAGATAGAGGACCTCAATATCTGCCACCAGTCTACCCTGCTATCCCTGGAGTTTTACCCCACCATAACATAATCAAGCAATCAGCCAATATCAGAAACGGAAGTAAAATTGATCAATTCAATAAATTGTTTTCAATTAGTTCTGAAGATGCAAAAAGTAAAAGTAGGAAAGATTCTATCATCCAAACATACCCCGAGGATAAAGTTACCACCGTTGCAAGATATGAAAGAATGCAATTTTCGACATCTATCAATTATAGAAAACCTGCCCTTACCAACAGACATTTCGTCTTGAGGGTTGAGCTTTTGGGAGTCTTAGATGACGGCAGGTATACTATTTTGGCCACGATGGAAAGCCCACCTTTGATTGTCAGGGGAAGGTCTCCATCCAATTATCAAATTGCCAAAGCCAATTACAAATCTCTCATGAAAAGAAGAGCTAATGGTGAAGAGGAGAACGAAAAGACTTACGAATTATTGAGGAATGATTATGAATCATTCACCGACCTGCAAAAGTCTCGAATGCTCCACAATAGACCCAACCCCGATCTTATAAGTTTCAATGAACATCAGATCATTACTGCTCCTAAGAAGATCAAAAAAATGGAACAAGTCAACGAAAAGTATTTCAATTTTGGTATGAATAGAAACATTGAGATACATGAAGATAGCAACCGTTTACCCCAATCTTCTTCTACAGATACAAATTTGGATCATGAATATTCATACCATAATACCAATTTATTCAGGGAATCGACCAACATGGCTACACCATATGTTCCACCATCTACCAATTATTACATCAATAATAATGTTCCATTTGATCCAAGTTTAGAATACAGGGGATTCAAATCTGTTAAGAAACATAAACATAAACACAGGTCCAAGAAACATCGTCACAGGTCTCATCGTCATGATGAACATAGACTGAGAAGGAAACACAGAAATCATAAAGATGAGGGAAGACCTGTCAGTGGAGTTGAAAAAGATCATGATTCCAGTTTTAACGAATTTAAAGATGAAATGGATAGATTGCAAAGAAAATTGTGAAGGTCCCACTTTTATATTTGTAATTCCATTAGAGGTCAGGAATATAAAGTTCTAATACAGAAATTCTCTTTCGCATTTTTTTTCGCTGAACTTAATTGTAAAATAAAATGTTGTTCTTTAGTTTCTTTAAGACTCTTGTGGATCAAGAAGTTGTTGTTGAATTAAAAAACGATATAGAAATAAAAGGAGTCTTGAAATCAGTTGACCAATACTTGAACTTAAAATTAGATAATATATCATGTACAAATGAAACCAAATATCCTCATTTAACATCAGTTAAAAATTTATTTATCAGAGGTTCAACTGTTCGTTATGTCAGAATTAATCCTAATGCTGTTGATTGTACATTATTGCAAGATGCATCAAGAAGAGGTATGTAAAATTTTGAGAGTAATATGTTGAAAGCAAAAAAATATGTCACTCGAGAGATCGAAAATCCATGGTAAAATTGTTGATCAACACCATGTTGGATATTCGGAATTCATTAATTAATACTAACTATTTCTAGAAGCTATGCAAGCTGCCAAATAAACGATTTAATGTATTATAGATAAAATATATATCATATAAGAGAAAGATCCCTGAAACCACCAGGACTAGTTATTTGAAGGTTCTGGTTTCTCTCCATTTAATCTTTTGAAACATTTGGCTCTATTATGTCCGGTTTTATTGCAGTATGAACATGTCTTTTTAGACTTATTCAAATATTTGGTTTCTTTAACTTTGTTTGAATTAGTTGAATCTAACAGGAGGTGTCGTATTTGTGGTCCTGAATCTTCAGTATTCTTCTTTATATCTTCAGGGACTCTTATCAATTTCTTGGGAAGTTTTATAAAATCACCATCTGTATCTTTAATGATTTGGATTAACTCATCATCATCTATATAGTCATTATTTTCAGTGGGGAGTAACGAAATATATTGGTTGATTATATCGAGTTTGTAGTTATACTGTGATTTCAATGACTCCAATTCCTTGATTTTTTCATTGACAGCAGCAGCTAATTCTCCTACACTCTGCAGAACATCTACTATTGACATGAGTTTTGAGAAATTATGAGATGGAGAAGTTTGATTTCTTACCTTCTTTCTGAAATCAGGAGTTGTGCCACAAAGAATTTAGCAGATACTATTGACGAATGTGTCATGAGAGTATAAAGTGGGGGTAGTTACCTGGCCCATACAACCAAGAGTTTTTGAATGGGACAGTGACAAAATCAGTGGGTTGAGAACGCCCTGAGATCTAAACAGTCATTAGTGACTGAATTTTGTGATTAGAGTATCCTTGAAAGTATTGAAGAATTTTCAGGACTAGTTTGAGTCATTTAAATAAACCAAAACAACAATTACCCCCCTTTAATGTCCAAATAAAATCAAAAACTCCTTTTTTTGGATAAATTCTATATATGGAGCACTTTTTTCGCTTAAAATTTTGCTGTGATGGCCTGTGGAAGAAGCGCATTGACTGCGTACTTTTAGTTTACCATTACAATTGAAATGTCCGGTTCGATCCCTGCGGTCGAGAAGTAGGTTATTCGAGTAATCAATAATTCTCTTCTCAGCAATGAGTGACAAGATCACTGGAGGGAAGTAATTCAGCACAGTAAGTTACCCGTAGTGGAGGCGAAACGGATGGCATTTTGTTGGTTATGTGGTAGATTATCAGTATCTGATGCCGCGACTTCTGAATTCTTTTTTTACTTCAATGGTTGCAAAAATCTTGATGATGATTGTTTTGGTTTTTAGTTGAATTAGAGACCTTCACCACCGTGTGTGATTAGAAATTTTTTGGGAAAAATGCCTGAATGTCTATTAATCTTGTTTTCTATAAACTTTTTTGAATAATAAGAATAAATCTCTCCTTATTATAAGTAACATTAACAATAAGGAAATTACACAAATCCCTACACTTTTAGTAAAGCCAATGAATGTCTTGGTAGGTCCGATTGAAACGTTGGCGTAATGACCAATTAAAACAATAGCTAAATTTTTGCTGATGAAACTAACCATGTTTGAATAGTTTATACGTAACTTGGAGTTGGTGAAGAGTTTACTGACAAATATTCCACAATAAATGATTCTTAAAGTCATGTTTATGATGTTAGCTAGGATAAGGCCCCTTATTCCTAAATGATAAACTTCAATCAAATAATACAGTAAAACTAATACAAATATACTCACCATTGACATGAAGTAAGTATAGTATTTAGTTTGTGTGGGGTTAGAAATGGCCATCAAGAACCCTTCAAGAACCCCGTTGAATGCTAAGAATGGTATATAACAAATATAGAACGGAAATACCTGAAATAAGTCAGTATCCAACCAATTTGAAGATTTACCTCCTAATAAGATTTTAAGTAAGTAAGATCCATTGAAATAACCACCCAAATAGATCAAGATAGAAAATTGAAGATAGAATATCAACAAGTACTTAATAGTGTTCAAAGCGTCTTGATAATCTTTGATACTGCTGGATTTTTTGATTTGGGATAAGATTCTTGTGAAGGACAATCTTACTGATTCTTCAATTGGTTGAAATAACAATCTAACAATAATGGAACCATAGTTATTCATTACAGAATATACTCCTCTTTCATCCACAGAGAAGAATGAGTTGATGATATATTTATCACCTTCTGTTAGAACCTGTTTAAAAATCATTTGAATAAATGATATCTTCCAAAAGGATAAGACTTCAGAATTAATGAAACTGCCATCCGATAATTTCGAAGGCACCAAAGAAACTGAGTAATTCGAATAATTAGACAAATAACACACAAATAAGGTAAATGAATAGATAAATTGACCGATTCCAAACCCTAATAATACTAAACCATTTCTGTTAAATATATTGGTATCACTTATGTTCAAAACTATAACAACTGTGACGACACAACGTAAAAATACAGCCATTCCTTCATATTTACTTCTGTTACCAAAATCCAAACTATATTGATTTAAAGCATAGATCGGTTCCACCAATAATTCTAATATAGTCAGACCCCAAAATAATGAGATTGTATAATTGAAGTAGCTCATGGAAGATCGTATCTCCAGTACGGTGTCAGTTGATAATTGCCACATGATAATAGCTATTGAGATTGGAATACCGATAATGACGGTTAAAAATGAAAAGTTGAGAATTGATTGATGGGTTTGCTGTATTTCATTGTAAGGTTTGGTTCTTTGAATGGATAATCTTGCAGCTTCTCTACTGAAGAACAAAATTGTGGAATACAAAAACTCAAGATAAGCCGACACTCCAAATATTGAAGGAGATATATATCTGACAAGAAGTTGATTCAAAAGAAAGGTGAATAATTTCGATAAAACCTGAGTTAAAATTAAAAGGGAAGCACCTTTCCCAGGATTGGAATTGACCTCAACACTTCTGTCAGTTTCCCCTGACAGTTTAAATTCCTTAACCATGTTGAAACTCCTCTATTATCCAAAACAGCCTAAACAATTCATGCAAGTTCTCCATATTTCGCGATCTGGGTGCCACGAAATGGGTCTCAAATTTACTACCAGCAGAGTTTAATTTGGTCCATCAGAGGTTGAAATTTTTCGCATTGGACTTAAGTGAAGGACAGTCAAATTTAGCCATTGACAGAGTTGATAAAGTAATAAATTAACTAATAAATTTTGAGGTTAGTAAATTTACATCTTCGAGATTATTGTTATTTCAAAACGTTAAAGAATTTGTATCCTACTAAATCATCGCAAAGTCAGGGATAACACCAGATTCTCGAGTGGACAATAATTGAGAGTAACTTCCAACCAAGATAATAATGGATCCAAATTCTATTAATCCTCAGGAAGTTGAATTAAGAGAGCAAGACCGTTGGCTCCCTATCGCTAATGTAGCGAGGTTAATGAAAAATACCTTACCAACATCTGCAAAAGTATCAAAAGATGCTAAAGAATGCATGCAAGAATGCGTAAGTGAATTCATTTCTTTTGTTACTAGTGAAGCAAGTGATAGATGTCTTCGAGAAAAACGTAAGACGATTAATGGTGAAGATATCCTTTTTTCAATGCATGATTTAGGATTTGAAAATTATGCAGAAGTTTTAAAAATCTTTTTAGCTAAATATCGTGAACAACAAGCTATGAGACAAGAAAGAGGTGAAGTAAAAATGACCAAAAGACAATTAAAAGCCCAAGCAGCTCAACAAGAAGCACAAAGAAAAGCACATCAAGAAGCACTTAATGGTAATGATATTAATGAAGAACTCAATGAAGAAGAAGAAGAAATCGATGATATTCCAGCTAATGTCAAATTAGAAAATGGTATGACTAATGGTTCTGATTCTTCAGAATCATTCTTTGACCAATATGAAAATAACAACGATCATCTTGAACATGACAAAGAAAAGAAAGATTATGAATATGATGATTTCATTAATGATCCAACTGATCATCAAAATATCGATGAATTGGCTAAACAATTAACCAACGATGAACCTGACATTGATACTTTAACTGCTGGTATCACCAATAATGGTGGTAATGGATATTTTTAAAGACCTTCAACTCGACCAACCTAACCAATCTCCCCCCATTTTAGTTCTTATGGATGTGTTAATAGTTTATTAAATATTATTTTATTTAAAATGTATATTACCTATGTACCTTTTTCTGTTTTTCATTAATCGTAAGTTATTTGGTTATCACTGAATTTACAGAGTTACCAATTTTTATTCTACAAACGGGACAGGTTTGTGAATGATTCATCCATCTCTTCAAACATTTATAATGGAAAGTATGATCACAAGAATCGAGACATTTGATTCCATCAGAATTTGAATAGTTCAAATGTTCTAAACAAATTACACATTCAGAATCGGGCTCAATGGAGATATCTTTTTTATACTTAAGGTTCCTTCTTTCTAAGCTGATTAAGCATCTTATTTTCACTATCAACACTCTCAAACTTAAATATGAAGAAGGTAAAATATGTATGGGGAAAGTATAATAGTATAAGAATAACACTGCAAACATACTCATCATTATAAATCGTACCAAGTTTGTACAAATTTCCACAAAATTCAAAAGTTTGGTGAAATTAACATGGGGTTTCTTGATGTTATAATACATGGTGAAGAATTTGGAACATGTAAATACCAATAATGGATATATATGGAATATTTCAAACCCAAAAATTGATATTAAGATATTATCATCGAAATTCAAAAATTGACTTTGATTGTAAATGAAATAAACTTGGTATATGAATGATACTGCCAATAATATATCGATACAATGTAAAATTAGTATACCAAAGCCCAATTTCTTGAATTGACTCATTTTTTGTTTATCTTTAGGATCAAATTTCACATCCAATGAATGAAGCCTATCACTAGTCAAGAAGTGGAATGACTTAAGTAACATAATACAAAGAAATAACCCAGAATATTTCAAAAATTCATTTTGAATGATCAAATTAAGTGATTGTATTCCTTCTTTATGCCTTATTTCCTTTAAAAAGATGAAAAATCCAAACCAAAATTCCCAAATTGTATAACTGATCTTATCTCTTAAGTTGCTTATCTCATTATCACTAAGTTTTCCAAAAACTGTCCACTTTATCAAGTTAGAAATGACTACCACCGAAAATATAATAAGGTTTAGCAATTTATAATTGACTAGATTGAAATTCTGCATTTTTAACATCAAATCTGTTACACATTGAGTCAAATTAACACACCCACTCTCAGTAAACGATTTCATTTGAAAGTTTTTGGAGTTTCTGGAGTAAGCAGAAATGGTTAGGAAAGCTCCCAACTTTTTATTGTTAGTATCACACGATTATCTACCTCATCGTCTCGTCTAACAACCGGCACCCTATAAAGGCTGGCTGGAAGCATTTACTGGTCATGAATGATCAGTGAATGAGTTGAGAATGTTCAAAATACATACCATTCCGAATCTAGTTCTCCATTTACTCTTCATATTTGTGGAAAAGAATTTAGATGATTTAACTTTACAGTGAAATTTTACCCCCGCCTAAGAAGCGCGTCACGTGTAACTGATAAAGAAGAGTATTGGCTGCAAAAAAAAGGTAACGTTTGGAATAATTGATCGATGGAGTCTAGATGTTAGAAGGTTCAACATCGGTATTGATGATAGGCTTACGGACTATAAGAAGTTAAGAAAATATCTCTCTAAATCCGATTTGACAGGGTCCTTCGGTACAAAATACTTCAATTTCTTCAGTTTTTTTTGACAAGTCTAACCAAATTCAATCAATTGCTGCAATTTCAACACTTATAACCCCTCCTCTCCTTGTAAACACACATTGTCATATCATGTAACACAAAATCGACAGCCTGCGTACTGTCGCAAAAAAATGAAAAATTTCTGATGAGATGGACTCTAATCAATATGGGAAAGAGAAACTTTAGAAAAAAGGCAGGTGACAAGAAATTTAACAACAGATCCGATAACAGGAAAAGTAGTTGGACTGAAGGACCAAGAGAAAATGATAAATGGGAAACTTATTATAAAGCTATGAACATTTTACCTGAAGATGAGTGGGATACTTTTAAGAAACACTGTCAACTGGATTTACCTTTAACTTTTAGAATTACTGGTTCCAGAGCTCATGCTAAAGAAATTAACAAGAATTTCATCGACAATCATGTTTCAAAATTACAAGATGTTGAATACGAAGGTAAAAAAGTTGCCCCTAGAAATTTAGCTTATTATCCTGATAACTTAGGTTGGCAAATAGATGTTCCTAAATCCGTTATGAGAAAACATGAACAATTCTCCAAGACTCAAAGATTCTTGGTTTTAGAAACCGATGTTGGGAACATGTCAAGACAAGAAGCTGTTTCAATGATTCCTCCATTATTAATGGATGTTAAACCTCATCATTCAGTTTTAGATATGTGTGCAGCTCCAGGTTCCAAAACTGCTCAATTGGTTGAAGCTTTACATGCCAATGATGATAAAGAATTACCTACCGGGTTTGTTTTAGCTAATGATTCTGATTATAAGAGATCTCATATGTTAGTCCATCAAGTTAAAAGATTAAATTCTCCAAATTTTGTTGTCGTCAACCATGATGCCCAATTATTCCCTAGAATTAAGTTCGAAGGTGCTGAGGAATTCTTGAAATTCGACAGAATCTTGTGTGATGTTCCTTGTTCAGGTGATGGTACTATGAGAAAGAATGTTAATGTTTGGAAAGATTTCACTGTTGGTAATGCTTTAGGTTTACATGCTTTACAACTTAATATTTTGAACAGAGGTTTACAATTATTGAAGAAAGGTGGTAGATTAGTCTATTCAACTTGTTCATTATCACCAGTTGAAAATGAAGCTGTTGTTGCTGCTGCTTTAAGAAAATGGGGGGATCAAATCAAATTAGTTAACTGTGATAATGAATTACCTGGTCTTGAAAGAAGACATGGTATTAGTGATTGGAAAGTTTTCGGTAGAGATATGGAAATTAGAGAAAAGGGTGCTGAAGATGTTGCTGAAACTGTTTTCCCACCATCTGAAGAAGAAGCTAAAAAATTCAATTTACAAAACTGTATCAGAGTTTATCCACATTTACAAAACACTGGTGGTTTTTTCATCACTGTATTTGAAAAAGTCGACCCTGAAGCTGGTTCTAAAAGACAAATTGAAGAAACCGAAGATGATTCATCTAAGAAACCAAAAATCGAAACTACTCAAGCTCAAACTACTGAACATGTTAAAATGAAGAAAGAAAAATTACCAAGAGATGCTAAAGAAGAACCTTTCATTTTCTTGAACCCTGACAATGAAGAATTAGTTAAATGTTTCCCATTCTATGGATTCAGTGAAGATTTCCCTAAAGAATGTACTTTAGTCAGAAATGCCACTGGGGAACCAGTGAGAACTATTTATTACGTTTCACCTATTGTTAAGAAGGTTTTGACCACACCAGAACAAAAATTGAAATTAATTCACGGTGGTATCAAATTGTTCGTCTCTCAAAGAAATGATACTGGTGAATGTCCTTGGAGAGTTCAAAATGAATCATTACACACCATCAAACATTTCTTAAGTGATAAGAGAAAGTTAAATGGTAACTTGAATGTATTAGAAATCTTATTCCAAGAAGCTTTCCCAAAAATTAATTCTTTAAGAGAAAGAAAGATTGATGAAGAATTTTCTAAAAGATTAGATACTTTTGGTGAAGGTTGTATGTTTTTGAATGTTAAAAGAGAAGGTGAAGATTTGGAAGATTTATTCTTACCTTTATGGAAGGGTAAATCAAATGTTAACCTTATGGTCAACAAGCATGATACTCAGGAATTATTATATAGAGTTTTCAATATTCATACCAGTGCCAAAGATCAAGGTAAAGAAGCCATTTATCAACAAAAAGCACTTGAAGAAAAGAAAGCTCGTGAAGCTTCTACTGAAACTGAAGTTGAAACCGAAGCCGAAACTGCAGTTGAAGAGAAAAATTAATCTTGTATATTACAATAAATTACATTAGTGTGATTATTCCTCTCAATTATCATTATCATTATCATCATCTTGATGGTTTTCGTCAATTTCGTTTCCATTTTCATTTTCGTCATCATTTTCGTCGTCGTTCTCGTCGTCGTTTTCTTGTTCAATTTCTTGTTCATTATGATCCTCCTGTTCATCTAACAGAGTCCGTACTTTTCTCTCAGTAAACAAACGGGCTACGGACTGCGTCACAGCTTCGTCAACCCAATTTTCAACTAACATTCCCAATTGTAACAAGGCTGACTCATCATATTTTCCCTTTATGTTCCAATATTGTTCTTCCAGTCGATGACTTGCGTAATAATGCAAAACTCTCAATAATTCCGAGTCTGGTAATTTAATATCAGGGAACTCTTCTCTTGGTTTGATTGGCACCTCCACAATGGTATTCCTACTATTACTCAAAACTTCATCTGGGGAAATAAAAGGTCCTTGTCTAATAAAGATTGATTCCAAGGGTTCTTTGAATACGGTTCTATCTACAGTTACTGTATCATTTTTCAACGTAACTCCAGGTAATTCACCGTTTCTATATTTGACTAAATTCAAGAACATCAACCTTTTACAACCATCATCGGAAACATCATACAAGTTAAAACCTCTTTGCTTTATCTTTTCTCTTGGATACATCACAGTTCCAGATCGAGAAGAGTTCGCGCATTTTTAAGGATTGGTGGTTTGTTTACAATTATATAATCCATTATGATAGTAGATGATCAGTTTGAGATAATACGGAAATTAGATCAACTAGCACATGAGGATGAGACGAGGAAGGCTATGATTAGATTGGCCATTATGAAAGTTCGAAGTTTTAAACTGGCAAATTTGAAGACTTCTAGTTTACCACCTGATAGTGAAGAATTATTAAAGAAGTGTCACAATTATGAATTAACGATAAATAGATTGAAACAAGAATTTAACACCAAGGACAAATTGAATGAATCAGCTATAGAGAAGTTGAAAGCTGATATAGCAAAGATTAGAAAGGAGAAATTACAATTGCAAAATACTGTCAACAAACAACCTACTAAATCAATATCGAAACCAAATTCCCAATCAAGATTGAATTTATCATTCTCCAACACTCCATATTTGACTAGAGCCATGACCGGAAGCTCATCTCCAGTCACTAAGCATAGACCTTCACTTTTCGATAGACAAAATAGAGGTATTTTATCCCCTATAAATACCAGAGAAAGGTTTCTGAAACATGATTTAGGTCTTGGATATAACAATATTACCCTAAACAAAACTCCTAAATCAACTTTGAATTCCAAATTATTGGTTAATAAAGCAGAGATCAAGAGTACACCATCTAAATCCCCTATAAGATCACCAGGTAAAACCCCTTCAAGATTATCATTTATAGCTGATTTTGACAAAGAATCTCAAGAATCAGAAAAATCACCATCTCCTGAGTTTACTCCTAGTAAAAGACATCCTTTTAGTGAAGGTATGAATAAAATCGATGAAGAATTAGCGGCTGAATTAAATAAAGATGGTCCTGATGCCAATTCTACCACTTTATTAGAAGAAGATTATGATGAAGATGAATCTGATGATGGGTTCCCCCAAGCTAAACGTATAAATAGAAGTAACGATAAGATAAAAACCCCTAAAACCACCAATAATCAAAGCATGCAAACGGATGATAGTAATGATGTATTTGCTAGTGCTAATTCAAGTTTAGCTAATTCAACTGTCATAGTGTCACAACAAAATGTCAAGAAAAAGAAAAGAATAAATTTATCGTTAGCTAATTCTAGAAAAATCAGTAAATCTTTAAGTTTGGATCAAGAAGTTAACCCCATTGATTACTATAAAGAAGATTTAATGAATTCTTCAGGGGGAGAATCACCCAACGGAGATAAAACTATCAACACCACATTCGAAAAAAGGAAAAGAACTGTTTTCAATGTATGATTTATGTAAATAAACCAATATATATTATATTATAGTATTTATTTCATATCTTAGTCACGTGATATGTCCGAAAAGTGCGACCTTAAACCTCTCAGAACTTCCAAAAACCGAGAGATCTATTAGTAATTTTTAACTGATTTCATAATTTAACCAATACTCAAGGTTAAACTAACTCAATCATTAAGGTTATTGATAGCTAGATTCATGATGATTAAATCCAAAAATCATTTGGTCAATCTTGCTACAAAAGTCACAAGATCAAAAGTACCTATAAGATTTGCCACATCAGTTGTAGGTAGAACTCTTGATGATTATAATAGGATTCCCTATGCTCCTAGTACTTACAAACCTTATGATGGGATAAGATATTTACTTAGGGACAAAAGCGATCCTGTTGATTCTAAGAAAGATAAGAAAGACGATAAGGATGACAAAGTTCCTCAAGATAAGAATGATAAAGAGGAAGACAAGAAAGACGATAAGAAAGATGATAAAAAGGAGGATATCGATATTAAGGAGGAATCCGAGGTAACGGAGTCAGAATTGTCCAAAAATATTGGATCATCAGAATCTTCAGCTGCTGGAGGTGCTGGAGCTCCTCCCTCAAATAATGATAATGGTGATGATAAAGGAGATAAATTGATGCAAGCTGACCCCAATACTGGAATTTACCCTCCATTATTAGCTATTCCTATGAAAGATCGTCCTCCACTCCCTGGAAGACCTTTTGCCATCAATATAACTGATCCTGAAGTTATAAGGTCCATTTATACTATCATTGACAATAGAGAACCATACTTTGTCTTATTCCATGTTAAAGATCCCAATGAAGCTGATACTGATGTTATCAAAGGAAAAGAATCGGTTCATGAGATCGGGGTTCATTGTCAAATTATCAGACATACTACACCAAGACCGGGGGTTTTCAATGTTTTAGGTTATCCATTAGAAAGATGTAAATTAGAAGATTTAACTGTTCCAACTAAAGGAAAAGAAAAGAAAGACGACGAAGAAGATTATCCAACATCATACCTTAAAAACTTCAAAGTATCTTATGCTACTGTCAAACCTGTAAAAGATGAACCTTATGATAAGCAATCACCTGAAGTTAGATCATTAGTTGAAACTTTGAAAACTTTATTAGGGAAAATGGGAGGTAAGAATCCTTTGGAGAAACTTCAAATCAAAGAAGGTACTGAATTAGTTAATGATCCACCTAAATTTGCCGATTTCGTCGGTTCAACTATTCATGGTGATCCTAAAAAGATTCAAGAGATTTTGGAAAGTTTAGATGTTAAGAAGAGATTAGAAAAAGCTTTGGAATTATTGAAAGTCGAAATGAGAGCCAGTACTATCAAAGAAAATACCATTCATAACTTAAGCACTAAAGCCGATGAATTCCAAACTAAATTATTCATTAAAGAATTCATCAAAGAATTGCAAAAAAGAGCCGGAATTACTGAAAGTGAAGATAAGAAGACTCATAAGTTTGATGAAAGATTAAAGAAATTGAAATTAACTGAAGAAGCTTTAGAAGCTTACAATGCCGAAAAAACCAAGATGGAAAGCCAAAATGAACATTCCAGTGAATTGGGTGTTAGCGAAAGATATTTGGACTGGTTAACATCGATTCCTTGGGGTGTTTATTCCAAAGATAGTTTCAATATCAGAGAAGCTCGTAAGATCTTAGAAAGAGATCATTATGGTTTGAAAGATGTTAAGGAAAGAATCTTGGAATTCATTTCTATAGGTAAAGTTTCTGGTAAAGTTGATGGTAAGATTTTATGTTTAGCTGGACCTCCAGGTACTGGTAAAACATCAATTGCTAAATCCATTGCTGAATCATTAAACCGTAAATATGTTCGTATTGCTATGGGGGGTATTCAAGATGTTCATGAAGTTAAAGGTCATAGAAGAACTTATGTTGGATCCATTCCTGGTAGAATTATTTTTGCTTTGAAACAAGCCAAAACTTCAAATCCTTTGATGTTGATTGATGAAATCGATAAATTGGATTTAAGTCGTGGAGGTGGTGCCGCTTCAGCTTTCTTAGAAATCTTAGATCCTGAACAAAATAACGCTTTCGTTGATAACTACATTGATGTCAAAGTTGATTTATCCAAAGTTTTGTTTGTCTGTACTGCCAATTATTTGGGTAACATTCCTGCTCCTTTAAGAGATCGTATGGAAATCATTGATGTTTCAGGTTATACCAATAACGAGAAATTTGAAATTGCTAAAAGACATTTGATTCCTGATGCTTCGAAAAAGGCTGGTTTGGAAGGTGGTCATGTTGTTATTGAAGACTCTACCATCAAGAAGTTAATTGATAAATACTGTAGAGAAAGTGGTCTTAGAAATATCAAGAAATTGATCACCAGAATCTTTAGTAAAGCTTCATTGAAGATTGTAGAACAAATGGAAGAATTAGAAGAAACCAAGATCAAAGAAACCAAAACCGAACCTAAGGTTGAAGCTAAACAGGTTGAAAAAGAAGCTCAAGCTGAAACCATTACAGCATCGGAACCTTTATCAGCTTCAGAACCTAAATCAACCAGTTCAGAATCAACTTCAGAATCTACTGTTGAACATAAATCTGATGATGAAGATATTATTAAAGAAGCTAAAGCAGGAGCTGCTGAAATCGCCGATGAAGCACTCCCTGAAACCAATATCAAACATGAACCAAGTGAAGTTACAGTGGAGGAACCTGAAGAAGAACCAATTATCAAATTAGAGATTCCTGATTCTATCAAATTAAACGTCACCACTGAAAACTTGAAAGATTATGTGGGACCTGAAATCTATATTAGAGATAGAGTTTATGATATCTTACCTCCAGGGGTAGCTACTGGATTATCATACAGTTCTTCGGGTAACGGAAATGCGTTATACATTGAATCCATTTTAACCCAAGCCATTTCATCTGGCTCAGGTCATGCTGGTATCCATGTCACTGGTAGCTTGAAAGATGTTATGAAAGAATCTGCTTCTATTGCTTATTCATTCTCCAAGAGTTATATGAGTAGAAAATTCCCTAACAACAGATTTTTCGAAGCTGCTGATGTTCATGTTCATTGCCCCGATGGAGCTATTCCAAAAGATGGTCCATCAGCAGGTATTTCTTTCACCTCATCATTAATTTCTTTGGCCATCAATAAATCCATCCCAGGTAACATCGCAATGACCGGTGAAATTACCGTTACTGGTAGAGTTTTACCTGTAGGAGGATTGAAAGAGAAAACTTTAGGTGCTAAACGTAATGGTTGTGACACTATTATTTTCCCTAAAGATATTGAAAATGAAATCGAAGAAATTCCTGACGAAGTTAAAGAAGGTATTACTTACATCCCTGTGGAATGGTACCAAGAAGTGTTTGATTTAATCTTCCCCAATGTTTCACCTAAAGAGATTAATGATGTTTGGAAAGAAGAATTTAGCAAATTAGATGAGAAGAAAAAGTCTAAAAAATCAAAATCAACTTCAAATGCTTAAAACATTGTAAATATGAAAGTTTATTGTACATATATAAGACTCATTATTTTTCTTTATCTTTGATATCACTAAAGAATTGACGAACTTCGTCTTCAGTAACAACTTTACCCTCTTCGGCAAAAGGTTTGAAGAAGTCTCGTAATTTATTTCGAATTTTGTCATAAGCTTGTAACCCTTCTACGGCTTGATCTCGTGGCAAAGCTTGAAGTGCTTCCGCTCCTAAATCTAACAAAGAACCCGTTGAGGAAGCATGGCCATCCTTTTCAGGAGGTTCGTAGATTGGATCCAGGGAATACAAGTAGGAGTTATTGAGGAGGAACTGTTTCAATTTTTCGTCTTGGGAATCAGTCAATGCCTTCAAATGGGGTTTGAAACCATATTTAAAGAAATACGATTTCGATATTGGGTCATCAAGTTTGGTCTTCTTTATTTGAGGTTCATCAGATTTAGAAATTGCTGGTGATGATTTATACTTCTCATATAATTCTTCCCACTGAGCCAAAGAAGTGATACCTTCAAAATGTGGTAAAGCAGTCAAAACAATATTATCATTGAATTTTTCAAATATATGAGCAAACTTGTCAGCACATTTCCAACAAATAAACACGTCAAAGTCCTCCATAGAAGGGAAGTGTGGTACTACCAACTCTTCCTCACCATCAGAATCATTGAAAGAAGCAAATGATTTATTGGTAGCAGCTTCGTCTTCAGCTTCAGGTAATTTATCCAAGATATTGACTCCTAGTAAAGATTCTCCATTTGACGATTCGACTTTCAATTCTTTAGTACTAAGACAATTATGTTCATAACCCAATATACAATCATCATGATACCAGTCTTCCCCACATTCGAATCCAAAGTAACATTGAAACATTGTTCCTTCCTCTTTTAAAGGATTATATATTTGTTCACAATGACAGAATTTCCCTGAAAAGTTTTGATTATAGGAATTTGAACCTGGAATATCTTCAGCAGGTAATTCAAGGGATTGGGATGTAGAAAACGATATACGACGGGAGATACCAGTTTTAATGGTGATAGATTCTGAGATTGAAGCTGATCTAGAACCATTCTTAGATTCCGGTTGTAATCTTAATCTGCAACCTCCATTAACAGTTTCAGACATCTTGGTTGTACCACAGTCACAAACAAAATTCCTCTTGGAGAATAATTCAACCAATTCATGGGATGCATGACATTGAATAGAGCAACTATAACATATTCCAATAGGTGTTGAATTTTGTCTCGAACAAGTTAAGCATGCAAAAACCATCTGTCTAATTTCTCCTTGCTGATAGGTACATTCATCAGGATCAAAGGGCATTATTTCTCTGGCTTCTCTTTCCAATTCATCTTGTTCCTTGACATAATCAACAGCAGTTGTTACTTCTTCCCTTTCACGCTTCATCGCGACTTTCCCCAGATACTTGAGAGATTAAGGGTCAATGGTGATAATATTAAGGAGGATCTATTTTGGTCATGAGCTTAGTAGATTGATACCTTTACTTACAAAACTTCTAGACTGAGGTTTTTTTACCCGTTATCACCATCTTGCTACCTGATATCACCATCACATATGCCATATACTAAACCCAGATCTTCCAAATTTCCACCAAAATTCCTACAGAGGAGAGACTTTACTAGATCAACCTCCCATCTCCATTCCTTAAGATTTACGAAACCAGAAATTCAAAATCAAACATCCCCAAATTTCCAAGATCTCCAATTAAAACCCTTAGAACCGTAATCAGCAAATCTCTTAAATTTCCGTCACCCCAATGAAACCATATTAAATCGCCGTCCCTAATGAAAATCCTGCCTTTACGTAGCCTTCACTTCTATCTACGGGGTAAAGTTGCCCTTTCCATCAATAAAGTATTTTAACACCCCACCCCCGGTTCTATGAAGCGCAAAATGTAAAATAATTATCCCATCAAAAATTATCCGAGAGTTTTTGCAACTTATAAAAGTGGGAGGTTTGCTAAAATATCTATCTTGACATTATTTACGATAATCGGTTAGAGATGTTGGAAAAGTTCTTCTCAGTTGATGGAAGACAAAACTACGTGTTGATGAAATAGATAAGAGATAAGAGATCCTCACTGATAAGAAAAAAATTCATATTATACATGAAATCGAACTAAACCACCTGGAAAGTATAATTCGGATCATCAGAAGGGGCTGAAGATGCATAGGAGTGTTCGGAGAAAGGTGAAGTCTTCTCAGATTTCTGTTCATGAAGTAAATCTTTCTCCTTTTCCATTTTTTGATCTAAGATATCATTGATAGTTCTTAATTCATCAATGCTATCTAACTTTTTGTTGACAACTTCCAATTCGGGACTCACTACACTTTTATCAGAATCGGAGTCTCTCATGGGTGTACCATATTGATACTGGTTGAATTGATTTTGGTGAAATTGATGGAATTGGTGTTGCAATTGTTGTTCTAGTTGTTGTAATTGTTGATTTGAAGGTGATAAGGTTTGATTGAATGTTTGAAATCCCACATTCAAATTTGATAAAGTATTATTCGGTTGTATCAATCCATTTGGTGTTATGGTGCCATTGAGAAGATTGGAATTGACATTACTATTAGGTGATTGATTAAGTTGATTCAAATTAGTTAACGATGGAATTCTAAATAAATCAAAATTATAATCTTCTGCTTGATTAGGAGATAATGAAAAAGCCATTGTCATTTGAGTGAAAGGTGATTGGTCACCATTCTTTTTAGTGGCCCTTTCATCATGGTTTTTCTGAACAGTTTGTGATGGAGAACCGAGATCTGAAGGTAATTGGAAAGTATCAACTTTCAAAGGTTTGTTTTCAGAAGTTTTGGTGTCATCAGATGTTATAGATTCCCCATCATCATTAACTTCTCGGAAGTATGATTTAGGATATATAGGTGAAGGTACCGATTTCCTATTGATGATACTTTCGACCTTTTGATACAATTCTTGACTGATAGTGATATCACTTTTGAATTTCGATACTAAGGAGAAAATCGATGTTAATATGTTGAAAGCAGTGAATGTTTCTTGCTTATTTATAATACATTCATTAACAGAATCTGCCACTGCCAAAGCTATTTCTAATAATTTCACACAGACACCAGGTCCGTTGGATTCGAAAGCGAAAAGCGGCAAGTCTTGAGTTTCTAATAAGAAATCTTTGGCTATTTGAATAGGAAATTGTGATACTAAACATTCTTCTTCAGGGTTTTTAGTCTTCTTAACTAATAATCCATTTTGACTAGAAATATGCCAAGCTAAAGATTTCATCCAATATTTAGAAAGAATGATATTCAATCTTTGAGTATCCGAAGAACTGGTAGTCACTTGGATTTTGGATAATTCAGTTTGGACATTTATAATCCATTTTGTAGTTGGCGAACCACTTGAAAGGAATAAATTTTTGAAATGATTCAAATTAGAAGGATTCTTTTGACTATAATTAATCAAATTATCAAAGAACTTCTTATCAGGGATAGAAAAAATCTTGACTAGTTCGATAAACCCGGTTAATAATCCACTATATTCTTCATCTTCTAAAGAAGGTAAAGGAATAGAAGGTTCTAAACAAACAGGAACATTATCTTCAATGCAAGTAAATCTTTCGGTGACTAATAACATATAATAGATTTTTCTTAAACGATGGATTTCAGCTGGAGGTTTAGCTTCATAGGTTCGTGGATCATGTAATCCCAATAATTGAGCAGTTGAAATGGCTTCTTTCATATACATAATAGCTGCTTGGACCCCTCCTTTGATATTAACATAATAGATATAAAGGAAGAAACTTATAAGTAAACTATCATGACTAGGATTCAATCTGTAATCGAATAAGTTTCTTGATCTGATAGCTTCTTTTGCATATTCACTAGCATCAATATTATGTTGAATACCAACAATAGGATTGGACCCTTGAGTTAAAAACGTCAATTGTTTAGTTATAGCTGCACATACGGCACAACATAAACTATAACTTGTAGCATTTTCAGGATTCAAAGTCGAATCACCCGAGGGATTCAATTGAATTATTCTACTAACCAAATGAGCTACTGATAAAACTGGCCAAATCCCATAATACCATGTTTGATAGATTTGTAGACATGGTAGTAACTTATCTATAGTAAGGATTTCATTGTAATTACCTAAAGTATTGATTTTTCCATTACCCATAGATAAATTATTGATAGAATCTCTTGTTTTCTTATGAATGTGTTTTGGTCCACATTTCTTTCTTAATCTATTATCAGTACAAGGAACGTTATGTTCAACACATCTGGAACACGGTTTCTTTTGATCACACCTAACTTTTCTTAATGCACACCCATCACAAGGTCTTGAATATTTGGCCCTAACTGCTTTCTTTTTAGTTTTGGATTCTTCAGTTTCTGACATGGTGATTATAACTTTCTATGATCCATATATTATCTAAACCGTTCGAATAACCTTCAAGGTTCTGTAGTTTTATTGAAATTTAATCTATAGAAACAAAAGTGGGAAAACTTATTTTGGGAATAATGCGTGTAACTCCATTAAAGTGGAGGGAGTAAAAATGTTGGTTTCGTATAATATTCTTACAGATCCAAGGAGATTAGAAATTGGCAGTGATTAGTACACAAGTCCAGGCAACGGATAGAATGGTTAATTTAAAAGATATTTGAATATAAAATAGAGATGACCAAGGGGATAGTGGGCAAGGCTTTAAAAAATTTCATTTCTCCAGATTTTCGAATCGGTTTTTCTTGTTTCTCATAAACGAATGCCTTAAGACCCTTTCCTTGGGTTTTCTTACAATGAGTGCTTGGCTTGAAGATATCCGATAGTAATTATAAAGGTACAATCAGAGATTTAATGGTTGTTTATCCTTGATCCCCCATGGGATCCCCCATGAACCCCCATTTTTACATTACCCCAAAAAATTTGAGATTTACCCCATTTTCCTTTTTCGGACCTCACGCTCAAAATAGCTGACCTAAGCATTGAGCATTTCAATATCTAAGCTTTTGACAAATGTGTATTAGTCTATAAAAGTTCATTATCATCAAGTTCATAAGTTCTTCTTTAAAAGTTCGTAACTGTAAAAAATCATGGCATTGGCAGGTAAACTACGGATCAAGGTTATGGTCAATCCACTGTATAATCCTCTGATCCCAATTTTACGAGCGATTTCAAAAGAATTTGTGGTTCCATGATCCAAGATATCATTAGTTTGAATGTTAGATTTGATGGTGTCCACTGGGAACATGGATAAGTTGAATGTCAATCCAGCTAATGCACCACTTACCAAAGAATTCAATTCACTGGGTCGTTTTTTATCAAGATATTCTGATAGAACTTCATATGTAGTGAACCAGATCATGGTACCAATGGTTTCACGTAGTAAAGTTGGCGACAAACCTTTCCAGAAACCTGAAACTCCATCTTTCTGATATATTTTCCATATCATTGATGAATAGATATTCTTAGTCGAAGTAGTGGCCGATTCACCAACTTTTTTAACGCTTCCAGGAGTAGCTAAGTTACTTACTTGTAATTGACATTTAACCAATTCAATGGGAGTCAAAATGAACGAAACTGAAAATCCTGCAAATGCTCCACTTAAGGCTTTATGTCTCAAACCAATATCTCTATCTACAGTTTTGAACATCTCCAAGCAACTGTTATAACTTGAAAATAGAATGGCATTCTCTAAACATGCACCAATCAAAGGTGCTTTCAAACCTTGATAGAATCCTTTAATAATACCTTCATTATAGGTTGCTTTGATCATTTGAAAAGTCGATATCGGTACTAAAGATGACTGTAATCTCACCTTGATGGTATCAAAGGGGAATTCAATCGTTTTACCTATAACACCGGAGATCGCTCCAAAGATCATATCTTTAACAGGGTTAACTTCATCTTGCTTCATTACCTTTGATGCGATATAGTTAATATTGAAAAATTTTCTCAGATAAGAATTATGATCTTAAAGGTGTTGTAGAGTGTCACCTAGGAAGAAAATAGGTTCCTTGTTAAGTTGACCTTTATCATGTAACGGACGTTCGATTGGTTTTAATCTGGAGTATAAGATTCAAATCATATCTAACAAAATTCAATATCTCAAGAGATGAACAGAGAGTCAGAGTTCAGTACAATTACTATGTATTATGATGTTTGATAATTTACACTTATCTTAATGGAATGAATCTTGATGAAGCATTACCTGATTTACCATGTCTAACTGGAGTATAAGAAATTGAGAATTCACCTAAGTATTTACCAACCATTTCTGGTTTGATTTCAACATTGTTGAAAACTTTACCGTTATAGATACCGACAACAGCACCAATCATTTCTGGGACAATGATCATATTTCTTAAGTGAGTTTTGACAACTGGTGGTTTTTCATTTGGTTCAGCAGCTAATTTAGCAGCTCTTAATTTGGTAATTAAACCCATTGGTTTTGAACCTAAACCTCTTGAGAATCTTCTTCTAACTCTAGCTGGACATAATTTAGTGAATTCTTCAGTTGGCATTTCTAATAATTGGGTTAAATCAACACCTTTGTATGAAAAAGTTTTGAAAACTCTCTTCTTTCTATCAGCTATAAATTGTTAGTATTATGTTCATTGGATGGTTTATCATCAAAACAGTTCTTAAGTTCTTTTTGAAATGGTTGGATTTTTTTTCATATCCTTATTAATCTTTGATTCAAGGGTCAACAAATTCTGTTACTTTCTTGGTGGTTTGCTATCTCTTCTGTTTCAACTGATGACTTATGATTATAATATAATCATATATATAACTTCAAATGATTACATACTAGTTTCAGCCATAATTAATTAACTTTGATAATGTGTGAAAACTTTTAAAATATCAATTTCTCACTAAACAAGTTGAAAATTTTTTGTGAAAAATCCAGTGTCGTGCGAAAGGTCAAATATGTTAGTTACTAGTGAGGGAGGGCGTAAACCCTAATAGAGAGTAACACTAAAATTCGCACTTGTGACTGCGTTGTTCTGATGCGAAACCACGACATTTGAAAGATGGGAGCCAGCAAGATGGTAAATTTAGAACGGTGCGTAGTACCATATTTCACTAAACATGGTTTGCGAAACCACCTAAACTATATTCATCGAAATTCAATGTCGCACGACGTTGTATAGTCTCAAAACTTTTCAAAAAAATTTTCAAATCTTTTAAAGAATAGTCTGCATCTTGCTTAAACGTGATTATTCTAGTTAATTAAATATGAAATACTTAGCTGCTTACTTATTATTAGTTCAAGGTGGTAACACTTCTCCATCATCAAAAGATATCTCCTCATTATTATCATCAGTTAATGCCGATGTTGATGAATCAAGAGTTGAATCATTATTAAAAGAATTAGAAGGTAAAACTGTTGATGAATTAATTGCTGAAGGTAACACCAAATTAGCTTCAGTTCCATCTGGTGGTGCTGCTGCTCCTTCAGCTGGTGCTTCTGCCGGTGCTGCTGCCGAAGAAGCTGCTGAAGAAGAAGCTGAAGAAGAAAAAGAAGAATCTGATGATGATATGGGTTTCGGTTTATTCGATTAGATCTGTATTATAGTAATCATTAATATAAATTTCATCTTACAATTGTGTTTATTTCTATTTATTCTAATTTACATGATGTTACAGTTGGTGATGTCGTTAATAATCGTGTTAAAGTAATATCTTTAACCTGATTAATGCTAATTAATGCTTTCTTTAATAGTAGTTATTATCTCTTGTTTGTTTGATTGATCCATTTTATAATTAATGGAATCAACAAGTATTTTAAATTTGGTCAATTCATTGGATTTATCATCAATTAATGAAGATAATTTAGATCTTAATGATGTTAAATATTGTAATTTCTTGAATTTATACTGTAAGTGTTGATTTAATTCAATTAATTCAAGTCTGGTGGTTTCATAATCGTCAAGTAATGTTTCGTTGATTTTAATATTATCACTAATCTCTTTATATACGGCTTTTTTAAACGATTTTGTCGTCAAAGTGTTAGCTTCTTCAGTTATCATTTCTTCATCATCTTGAACTAGTATATCTTCCTCATCTTGATCAACATTTTCAGTTTCAGAAGTATCTTCACCTTCATCCTCTTGCTTATCGTTGTTTATGAACAAATATCTAGACTCGGGTAATTCATTTATCAAAGTATCTAATTGTTTCAAATTTTGAGGGTTTAGGTAATCGATCTCGGGTAAAATCAAAGGTTTTACCATATTCTCCACTTGTCGTAAACGTTCATGGACCATGGTGACCTTCTCCCGTTCATACTTTAAGATTTGATTAATGATTTGATTAGATATTCTAGGTTGAAACTCATTGTTATTGTGTCGTTTAATCAATACATTGATCTTGGTTATAATAATTTTTAATTCTGAAAGTGATAACCCTTCATCATCACAAACTTCCTTCAAATCATCATCAATCACCAAAGTATTGTTCAATAGTTTGATTTGACTATCAATAAACCTCTTACAGTAATTGAAGCTCTTCATTGAAGATAAACAATATCGCGCTTTTGACAGTTTATATCGATTTTTTTTATTCCTACTGACATATACGCTGTTTAGTAAAATTTAGTGTTTAACTTGGGACTTACACGAATGGCTATTATATAACTGGTCTTATATTTAATCATTTCGTTTTATTAATTTTTAATTTTCATCATATTTATTTCCCCCTTAGTGATAGATATCAGATGACAAAGAAGTCCAAATTTGTATTCACTTTTGATATAGATACTGTATTATTGAAGTTAATAGTGAAATATCGACAAGATATATATAGCCGAGGATCTACTTGTAAAGGATGGAATTTAATTTTAGATGAATTTAATTCCATTTTAAACAGTTCTATAGTTCAAAGTCGAACATTGAATAATCGGTTTAAAGTATTAAGGAAAGATCTTAATTTAAGAATAAGCAATGATTTAGTTAAATCTGTTGGTTTAAATGAAAATGAAAAAATACTTGTGTTTTTAAATAGTTTCTTTAGTTCAAAAAGTGGTAAGTTAGCAGAGAAAGAGAAAGAAAAAGGTTTATTGATTGATGGTAAGAAATTAGATATCAACTTGGATAGTATTGATTATGAAGATGTGCCGATAGATGATTTAAATCATGAAATCGAGAGTGAAATCAGTAATGAAATGAATAATGAGATGAATAACAATATAATCGACGATGTCAATGCCGGTCAAAGTCATCAAGATACTCAAAGTCATCAAAGTAATCAAGATCAAGAAGATGATCATGACAATCACGATAATCAAACAGAAAATGGTTCAAATGAAAGTCGAAATAACTCAAATAGTTCCATGTCTCCCAAGACAAATAGAAGAGGATCTTATCAGATGTTACAATTACAATATAATCAAATGGAATTAAATAATATGATACCTCAAAATCAATTATCGATGCAAAATCAATTACCTCAAAATGTTTATCCTATGTATCACCATTCACCCAATTCTTCAATTTCTAGTCAAATAATCCCTGATCAAATGTCACCTAACTATCATGAAATCGATAAAGATAATATGAACATGGCTATGAATAATGGATTTGAAATGTACTCACCTAAGCAAAACTTAGATTATTATTATTACGAGACCAAGAATAGGAAGAAAGAACCTTACAGAGCCAAGAGAACCAAGCCAAATCCATCAATGAATCTGCCAAATTTGAATAGAGAATTTAATAGACCATCACCAAACCTACCACACAATAGACCACCCAATCAACCACAATATACTCCTAACCAAACACAATTCCGAAGACTGCCACATTTGGGTCAACCAAATGGCCAACTCAATGGTCAACCGAATGGTCAATCAAATGGTCAACCTATAAATCGACAGAATGGCCAACAGAATGGTCAACAAGGTCAACAGACTAACCAACCTAATAATCAACAGAGTACTCAACAAATGCAACAAAATACCCAACAGAATAATCAACAAACTAATCAACAGGTTAACGGCCAGTTACAGAACAACAATCAAATGCAAAATAATCACCAAAATACCCATCAACTGGAAAAACTATCCAACCAAGCTCAACTTATTAATGACTTACAACAAACTCAGGCTAAACAGAATCAAGAATTGAATGAATTCAGAAAAGAATTTTTCGATTTTAAATATCAAGTGGGTTCAAGATTAGATCAAATCTTACAATCTTTACAAAAGAACTGAAGTCATCTTAATACACAACCATCTTATCATCTCTTATCTTATCGCGATGCGGAACTTCGCACAAATCGTCTAAATGATTGAAGTATTTGATTCCAATTCAACTAGTCCTATTCGAGATCCTTCTCTATATAGAGGTGTGGCTAAGACGGCAAGAGTTCAAATAGTCATTGCTACGATTTTAGGGTTATCGGCGTTCTTATTATTTTCAATTTTGAGGAAAAAGTATCCAAAGATTTATGTTGCTAACTTCAATCAAGTTAATCACAACTATTTACACAGTCATTCTCGACAGAATTTACCTAAACTTCCTTTATCTTTGTTTGGATGGATTCCTGTTGTATATAAGGTCAATGAAGATCAAGTATTGGAACACGCAGGTTTAGATGCGGTGGTGTTCTTGGGTTTTTTTAAAATGTGTATAAAGATTTTAACTACTTGTGTTATTTTGGCTTATACCATATTATCACCCATAAGATATAAACTTACAGGGAAGCTAGATCAAGACGACCCCCCAGATAAACATGAAGATAAAGCAAGGTATGATAATAATCAACATTTATTATATCTTTATGTTGTATTTACTTATATATTCACAGGTGTTGTTATACATTTCCTTTTCAAACAAACCAAAAAGATTATAGACATCAGACAAGCATATTTGGGGAAACAAAATAGTATAACTGATCGTACCATCAAATTATCGGGGATACCACCATATTTAAGAGATGAAATTGACCTCAAACGTCATATTGAGAGTTTGAATTTGGGAGAAATTGAAAGAATAGTTATTGTCCGAGAATGGAATGATTTGAATAAATTGTTTAAGTTAAGGAAACGATGTTTATTGAAAGCAGAGAATTATTGGGTAAGATATTTCGAAATTAATGATATAAAGAATAAAAACGATATGTTATCTACCAATTTACATCCTAATTTACGTGAACTGATTAATATGAATCCTAGTTTCGTTGATGAAGTGGATGATGAAACTGTCAGTGAAGAAGAATATATTAATAATGAAGGTGAAAGGCTCATGAGACATTCAAGTATTATTAATCAAATTGCTGATCATATAGATGAGATTGATGATTCTATCAATAACTTGCCCCTTCTCAATGATGAAACTCATAGAAGACCAAAGATATGGAAAAAATGGTACAATACCTTCAGTCCCAAAATCGATGCTATTAACTATTATACTGAACAATTGGATATAATTGATAAAGAGATTAAAAAGGCTAGAATCAGAGAATATCCTGCAACTTCTTCAGCCTTCATAACCATGAAGACCGTAGCTGAAGCGCAATTGATTGCACAAGCAGTATTGGATCCTAAAATAAATCATCTTACTACCACATTAGCCCCAGCACCTCATGATGTGAGATGGGATAATTTATGTTTGACTAGAAGAGAAAGAAATTACAGAATCGGTACTGTTACATTCTTCATTGGGTTAATGAGTGTTTTGTTAGTGATTCCTGTTAGTTATTTAGCCAGATTCTTGAACACTAAAACCATCAGTCAAATAGCTCCTAAATTAGGAGATTTCTTGAAGAAGAATGAATGGGCAGAAACTTTAGTAACAGGGGTTTTACCTCCATATATTTTCACCTTATTGAACATTATAATGCCATATTTTTATATCTGGATAACGTCCAAGCAAGGTTATACTTCACATAGTGACGAAGAACTTTCAACAGTTTCAAAGAACTTCTTTTATACTTTTGTGAATTTATTCTTGGTTTTCACTTTGGTTGGTACAGCTTCATTGACTGACACTATTAAAATCGCATACCAGTTAGCTCAATCTTTAAGAGATTTATCATTATTTTATGTCGATTTGATCATATTACAAGCTATTGGGATCTTTCCTTATAAGCTTTTATTACTTGGGAACTTACTTAAATTCACTTTTGGTTCATTATTATGGTGTAAAACTCCCAGAGATTATATAAAGCTTTATAAACCTCCAGTGTTCAATTTTGGTTTACAATTACCTCAACCAATGTTGATATTTATCATTGTCATTATTTATTCTGTGATATCTACCAAAATCTTAACTGCTGGATTGATCTACTTTATCATTGGATATTTTGTGTTCAAGTATCAATTGTTATATGCATGTGTTCATCCCCCTCATTCCACAGGTAAAGTTTGGCCCTTGATCTTCCATAGAATATCTGTTGGAGTATTCATCTTACACATAATGATGGCAGCTACCTTATCGTTACAAAAAGCTTACTACTCAGTAATAGCTTTAACACCTTTACCTTGTATTGTGATATACTGTCTTTACCTTTTTGAGAAACATTATATCCCATTATCATATTTTATAGCCTTAAAATCCATTGAAACCGATGGTGGAGCTTTCCACGATGATGAATCGTTTATTGAAAGTACTCCGGATAACACCAGAAATGATACTTTCAAAACATTAGATGAAAGAAGAGAAATTGATCAAACTTATGACTATCCTTATTTGATAGAGAGTTTAGATGGCCCATTGATAGCTGTCGATAATAATGAAGTTTTGCTTGTCAATAATGATGGAATGACAGTAAGAAAGTTAAAAACATCCGTTGGAGATTTTTATTAGAATTGTGTATTATAGATTAATATAAAAACTAATATCTGAAATGATTTCTTGATAATTATTAATAAAAATGTCATAAACGTCGTAATTTGTGTAATAGCTAATAGTTAAAGAAGCGATTCCAATAGAAATCACCTGTTCGACCAAAATGCAAAGACTTACTGTGAGGATGATTTTGAAGTAACTTAAATTGGTGATATTCTTTAAAGCTTCAATGATATTGACTACTGCCAATCCACCAACAATCTTTTGCCATTGTACCGTTTGATCATATGGCCATATAAGCATTAAAATCGGTAAAAGTTTGATGGAATTAGCTACAAGTACACATGATAATAATGAAGCTCTATAATACAGGGTTTGATATTCATGGTTGAGATTCTGATTTATGAGGTTTTTCCATCCAAGAAAGTTGAAGAATACCCATTGTAACGTTACGTTAAACACCACATGGTTGATAATCAGCTTGAAAACGAAGGAAATGTATTGAATATAAGTATCTCGACTCAAAATGAACTGATAGATTATGGAATGAGTAGGCTTTTTCTCTTCATAGGCCCAACTCAAGTAAACTTCGAATAGAATCATCATAACAATGAACCTGGCTAGATTACCAAACATTTGGAATTTCTGTGTCATTGTTACAGTTGATGTTTGACCCTTTTTAACTCCTTCAATGGCCATTTGGTTCTCCATCACATTATAACAAACATGTCTATAAGCTTGAGGTTTCACAAGAACAAGGTCAAGGAACAACAACACATTGTCATATTCAACATATTGATCAACTATTTGATGGCAATGGGGACACACTGCTAGTTTTATGTAGTCCCCTTTATATTTATAATAAGTACAAGGTACTTCATACTTGCACTCCACACAAATCATAGTAAAGTTTGTTCGCGATTTCATAGGGATCTCGATTTCAAGATGGCTGCAAAAAAAAATTCTATATTACATACTATACAATTATGACTAGCACACTTCTAAAGGAGGAGCATCGTCAGGGACTTTACCAAGTTCGAATCTGGTTTGACGGAATCTTTCATCTATACCATCAATCGAAGCTGTGGTAGTTGTGGTAGCTGGAGTCGAAGCCACGGGAGTTGCAGTAACTGGAGCCAGTGGAGTTGTTCCGAATCCCAGGTTCCCAAATGTTGAAGTTGTGTTATTTGAAGGAGCTGGTTTACTTTCAGTGGCACCTCCGAATGGATTAGAAGCGGCACCAAAAGGTGAAGCTGTTGATTGAGTACCGAAACCTGATGACCCAAAACCTGAAGATGACTGAGTATTTTGTCCAAAACCAGAAGTGGTTGAAGGTCCTTGTCCGGAGGTTGCAGTGGTACCGAATCCAGAACTTGGTTGACCAAACCCTGAACCGCTACCTGCCTGGCCAAATCCTGAACCTGTAGTAGTAGTAGCCAGATGTCCAAATCCTGAACTGGAAGTACCTGTGTTCGTATTGGTTGCAGCTGTGTTGGTGTTTGCTTGACCAAAACCTGAATTCCCAAATCCACTACTTTGGCCGAATCCACTGGATCCAAAACCTGAGGGTTGTGTTTGAGCTGTAGTGGTCGATCCAAAGGGTGACGATGATTGTGCTGGGGCTGCAGTAGATCCAAAACCAGAGGATCCAAAGCCTCCACTTGGTTTAGCACCTCCGAATCCGCTAGATCCAAAGCCCGAGGAATTATTATTAGCTGTTGAATTACCACTAGCAGCTCCAAAACCGGAAGATCCAAAACCTGAGGATCCAAAACCTGTAGAGGCAGGTTTAGCTCCAAAGCCACTAGATCCAAAACCACTTGATTGTGGATTGTTGGTGTTGCCGAACCCTGAAGATCCAAAACCTGATCCCCCAAAACCAGATGCTTGGGTAGTTGCAGGAGTGGTTGAGGCACCAAAGGCAGAAGATCCGAAACCTGAAGATGTGTTATTGTTCGTACCAAATGCAGATGTGCCCGACCCAAACGCAGATGTGCCGGAGGTGGAGTTGGGATTGGAATTAGATCCAAATGCAGATGTGCCGGAAGTGGTGTTGGTGTTAGATCCAAATGCTGAATTACCGAAACCAGAATTAGATGAGCCAAATGCTGAATTTCCGAATCCTGAACCACCAAACCCTGAACCACCAAATCCTGAGCTTTGTCCAAATCCTGAGTTCTGTCCAAACCCAGAACTTTGACCGAAGCCATTATTATTATTCAGGAATTCTATTATGTTCTCTTCCAATGTCTTGGGTATGAATTTCTTGACGACATTTTGAGTGGTACTTGTCTGTAAATATCTGGCAGCATTTCTTTCCATACCGTTGATTTGTCCAATACAATATTGCATATCTTTTTCTCTAGCCATCATCTCTTTCTCAAATTCTGGTAGTTTATTTTGACTTTGAGCTTCCAAATACTTGAATCTGATCTCTTCAAAAGATAAATCTCTACCTTCAATGATACCATTAACTGCAGGAGCACCAAGTCCATAACTTGACAATGCTGGTTTGGCAGAAAATGTGGGATAATCTTTTAAATCTTGTTTAATTTGAGTCACTTTACTCTCAAGTGTCGAAGGACTGGCAAACGTCGATAAAGTTTCTGTGGTTCCTTGCTTCTCATGAGAGAAGGGACAACTATTACCCTTTTTACAATTGGGATAGAACTTACAAGGTTCGTTCTTCTTATTATTGTTCCCGTACCGAAACATCGCTGTCGATTGACTGAAGTGATTTTAATGCGACCAAGATGCGAGATTTTGAAGATATCGATGGAGTGAGATTTTGGGTGGACCTGGGTAGTTCTGGTGGATATTGGGAGAAGCAATAGAGCATAAGTTCTTACTAATTTGAGCAATTGTGGCGATTCAATTGTTTATTATATAAGACTAGGTTTGATACTTTTTATACTCATTGATCAAAATAGCTTGATTCTCAGCTGTTGTCACGAATGCTTTTCTATAAAGATCAACATTCTCCTTAAGGGCTTGATCCTTAGTCCTCCTTCCTGTTTCTACTTCTTTCAACAACACTTCCAACCTTTTACGAAGAGAAGGTTTGGATAATGAGATATTGTTTTCGAAATTTATCGAGCTAAAGCCTTCAATCAAACCAATGCCTAGTTCTGTGGGTACTATGATCTCAGAACCCCCTTTCTTGACTTTTTGGATATATGATCTGGCTCCAATACGGTCTATATGATCAGCTATGGTAGCATCAGTTCCAATTCCATTGGCATCCATTAAAGCAATTAACTCCGTTTCTGTCATATGATTAGGTGGTCCTGTCTTACCTTCTTTGACTTCACTAAATTTGATGGGTATGGATTCTCCTTGTTGGAATGGTGGTAAGGTTTCTGAAGACAGCCATTTCCTATAAGTATAAACCTTCAAATAATTCAACTCTGAAACTTCAAGACCAGTAGCTTTAAAAATCTCATTACCCCAAACCAATGTAGCGACAGTTTGAAACCCTTTGGCATCGGTGGAACAACATGCCAAAAACCTTCTTACCACATATTCATAAACTTTTCTTTGATTATCATCTTTGATAGCTTCTAACTTCTGGAATTTCACGGGATGAATAGGAGGATGAGATTTATCATCATTTTTACCTTCTCTAGGTTGTGAGAATCCTCCATCAAGTAGTTCCCTAGCAAACTGCCCCCATCGAGAATCTTGGGTTTGAGTTTCTACAATGCTTTTCAAATTCATCGCCCGGGGGAATTTATCGGTTTCGGTTCTGGGGTATGATATCCAACCTCCAGTATATAATTTTTCAGCCGCATCCAAAGTGGCTTTTGCACTCATTTTGTAAAAAGTTGAACAATCCTTTTGCAATTGAACAGTGGTCAAAGGATATGGTTTATAATTACTAGTGGGTTTCTTCGTTACGCTATCAATCTTACCATGGGGATTTTTCATACATTCTTGATAAAGTGTTATTACATATAACCTATCAAAGAAACGACCTCTTGTCCAATTGAAATGAGCTGTTTGTCCATCCTTTTCAACGTCTGCTTGTAAATACCAGAACTTTTCTTCTTTGAAACTCTTGACTCGTTTATACCTATCTACTACAAAACCCAACGCAGGGAATTGACAAGTCCCATAAGAAACAGGTGACGGAATATTCTTCTGTCCTCTTAAAGCATCAGTTAAAAGTCGAGTGAAACTAGCTCCTACTCTTAGGTCAAGCTCTTGTCGACAATTAACCGCATCAACCACCTTCATGTCCAAACCAGTAGGATTTCTAGCAGCATTTAGTATATGGTTTCTTTCCAAATGAGAGAAATGTGATCTCCAAACGTGATTAAATGATATGGAACGATTTCCTTTCTGAGCAGCTTCAAAGATTTCATAACCTATGGCTTCACCCTCTCTATCACAATCAGTCCATATCATTAAATATGTGGAATTTCTTGCTTCCGTAGATATATTCCGATGGATGGCTGCTTTGTCCTTATCTATTTTAACTTCGATGGGCAATTCGAATAATCTGCCTGGAGGAACTTTCCCCCATCCATATTGAGCAGGAAAGTCAGTTCTATTGATATGACCCGTTACTGATGTCATTGTAACATCACATACTCCATGACCTGGGAAATCAAATTTGAAATCGAAATTGGAATTATATTTACTGGGTGAATTTCGTCTTACCAGTTTACCCCCACTGAGAATATTGGTGACTTCCTTCGCTATAGATGGTTTCTCTGCAACGCACAACACTTTCATATCATTACTATTCACAAGATCACTTTCGGGCTACACGTAGGAAGACTTAAGATAAAGGAACGCGAAGTTTTGGTCTGAGATCACCTACAAGAGATGAGCCATGGTGGTGATGCAATAATTACGTCTTTGCTCCAATGGATGAAGGCAAAGAATAACATCGGGGTATCTTCCAAAGAAAGTTTCGTATCTTTGAAAGTCGGAGCCAAAGATTTTGGAGATGAAGGTAGAGGTTTAGCTGCTAATGATAATATAGTGCAAAATGAAGAAATCATAAAAATCCCCCATTCTTACCTCCTAAATGCCCACACTATCATCCGTCACATCTCCCATTTTAACAAACATACCCATTTGAATGAACATTACTCCAATATTGACATATCTTACGAAGAAGAACCAAAAGATGAGGTTACTCAAATATATTCCAAAATTCAGTACAACGAAATGGTAGGTTTACTGTCTTTCCAATTGGTATCATTATACCTTTGTTTGGAAACTGGTCGACAGAATTCCTTCTGGAAACCTTTCCTCGACTCATTACCAGACATCAAAGCATTCAATTGGACTCCTTTAGTATGGGAGGAAACGGGGTCAGGCGATTTAATAGAATTCTTACCTTCAGAAGTCAAAGAACATCATTCACAAGTAAGTCAGAGATACAACAGAGATAAAGAGGCAGTTAAGAAGTTCTTGACATCGAAACTTCCAGAAACAACATCGGTTGATAAGTATATCACATCACAAAGATACCTTTGGGCTTGGATGTGTATAAATTCACGTTGCCTTTACATGGAACTACGGGAAAGTAATGACAATGCCGATAATTTTACTATGGCACCGTTAGTTGATTTTGTCAATCATTCCGATGATGATCATTGTCGACTCAAAATCGATAACAAAGGTTTCCATGTCATAACCACCACCAAATATGAACCTCAGAGCCAAATTTATTTAAGCTACGGTCCACATTCCAATGGGTTTCTTCTTTGTGAATACGGATTCGTGTTGCCTTCCAATAAATGGAATGATATTGACATATCTCGCTATATCAAACAAGATCTCAATGAAGATCAGGTAAAGTTTTTGAAACAGTACGAATATTTTGATAATTATACGATCGGAAAAGTTTCAGGAGTATCTTATAGGACAGAAATAGCTCTAGCTGTGATGCAAGAATCCAAACCTTTCAATTCAAGAAAGCTATTAGCTTATGTCAAAGGACTCACTGATGGTGAATCTTATGGTGAATCTAGCAAGGAGATCTTACATGATATACTTAACGAGGTAGAGTCTGACATTAGTGGAAAAAGAGCTCAAATCAAAGAAATCCATGATGAATCTAAAAGAGTTATCATCCAATTGTACCTGGACATCGAAGAAATCATCGATGCCACCAAGTTATCGTTTATTAATGCATAGTATTTACAGGATTTTCACACTTATAACATCAACTTGGTATACTTATCGTCTATAGCGCTTTCTATACTGGATTTACTCTTAACCATCCATACAAGCATATTATTGGTATGCGTACCTATCTTATGTTTTCTTCCTAATCTACAAATGTATCCATTGATGAAATCTATCTCCGTTCCACCAAAGGATTTCATATCTTCTCTCATGGATGAGCTATTCTTTGATGTGGTTGTTGCTACCTCAGTGACAATCCCCAACAATCGGTCGATGTTCAAGTATGATGATGCTTCAGGTAAAGTTTCGAAAAGTTCAGGATTATCTTTCTTGATTACCATTACAAATTCTCTCAATATAGATTTCATGATATTAAGGACCCTACTACCTTCAAGTAAATCCCCATTCAAGCAATCAAATATGGCTGTTAAGGGGTTGATACAACAATTGACTGCTAACTTCTCCAACTCTCTTAACTTGAATTCATTGTAATTTTCAATATATTTGGCATTTAAATTAGGAGTCTTGAGAATCATGTCAATCATATGAGGAGTATCTGGTGAATGAGGATCAAGCGGATTCCTAGGGTAGCAGGATATGGTCATATCACCTAAACCAACATGATTTATAATAGATGGTGATGCCTTATATGCACCATGAGTGATGATGGCTTTATAAAAATTGGGTCTTGGATTGATTGAACTAGGCCAGAACTGTTCCTCTATCAGATCCATTAATCCCATACCATTTTGGATGAATAAGACATTAGAATCTTTATGTAACAAGTTTGCAAATGGTGATAAAGCACTGAATGATTTATGACATTTGGTGGCTAAGATGAGATTATCGATCTTTTTGATTGGCCCTTTGGACCATTGTTCAGCTGTCAACCCTTGGATGGCACTAGTTGTACGTTTCTTGTTCCCGTAATTATCTATTCTATCTAAAACCAATTGTGAGCCTCTTCTTTTATATACATTTGCAGACTCATTATTCTTGAACATAAGCTTCAAATCCAACGTCCTTCCATGAGCTAGCGTTATCTCATGAGCTATCAAGCCTCCTATGGAACCTCCTCCCACTACCACGACATTTAATGGATGTTTAGCCATGTCTATAGTAACTAAGATAAAGGTCTTCTCTTTTTTTTCCCGCACCTTGTGAGTACAGAGACAAATATGTTAGTTGTGGGTTTAACTGGAGGTATAGCTACCGGTAAATCTACTGTTTCCAAATCATTGAAGGAAAAACATGGATTGACAATTGTAGATGCTGATTTAATTGCTAGGGAAGTGGTTTATCCTGGAAAAAGTGCTTATAATAAAATCATTGATACCTTTGGCCATGAGATCCCAGATTTGGTTAAAGATGATAAATCTCTAAACAGAGAAGCTTTGGGGAAACATGTCTTTGGTGATAAGGAGAATCTAGGCAAATTGAATAGAATCGTGCATCCTGCTGTCAAACAAGAAATTGCCTGGCAAATCATCAAAGCTTATTTTACTTTCAAACATCTTGTGATCTTAGACGTTCCCTTACTTTATGAATCAGGTTTATATATGATTTGTGGTAAAACTGTTACTGTCACTTGCGATAAGGATATTCAAATTAAACGTCTTTTAGCTAGAAATCCCGAATTAACTCCTGAAGATGCAGATAAAAGAATCGATAGTCAAATGAGTGACGATGAAAGATGTTATAGATCTGATTACATTATAAGTAACAATCATGGGTTGGGTGAATTAGAACAAAATATTATTCACATTATCAGAGAGGTTTCACCCAATATGATCTTCACGGTGTTGGACTGGTTCCCACCATTTGGAATTTTATCGGGTTTTTTAACTTTAACGGTTAGGTACCTTGTTGAGAGGTTCAAGGGGACTTGTCCGCCAAAGAGACAATGATGAATGTATGAATTAAGAACTAAACTCTCCATTATCAGGCTCTCCAATATTGGGCCAAACTATGTAATCTATCTATAACTACCGGTAAGAAAGCATTAACACTATCATTAATTAAATTCTGGAAATGGATGATGGCCTCTTCTTCAGACATATCCAAACAAAATTTTTCTTGAACCTTTTCTACAGCTCTACCAGGGTCGGCCTTAATATCAGGGATATTGGCATCCATCATCAATTGGAATAAATTAAGAATCAAATTACTATTCTTTCTTAGCGTGGTGTATGTGACAAAACAATAGTTCTTGAAGATATTGAAATTTTCATGATCCAAACCTCCCATACCATCGATCACTTGAATTGGAAGTTTCATCAATGGAGGGAAGGGTTTCGGGTCCCTTCCTAGGATATAACCGAAATCTGCATGCCAAAACTTCCCATTGGGTGATAATAAAAGATTATCTAAATGTCTGTCACCAACCCCAAGCAAATAAGTAATCACACAGTATCCAGCACACGATCTGACATAATTATCCAAAACCATTGAGGAAACTCCTAAGTCCGAGGTAACAGCATGTTTTTGGGTGACTTGCTTTGGTAAAAGTTCTTCATCGGGGCTCTTCAAAACACTAGTAGCAATGGGCTCAATGGGTTGAAGTTCCTTACTATGGTATTTAAGGTACTTCAAGATCCCATTAGATAGGTGACTGGTTTCTTCAATGTCATAATTTTTCACCAAAACACTATCCAATGTTTCATTGGGTACAAATTGAATCATACCAGCTATAGGACTGGTGGCTAAGATTCTATAGGGAGTTAACCTCAAGTCAAGGTTTTCATTCTTTAACAATTGGTCCATTAAATCAATGATTTGTATGACCAATTGATCTTGTCTTAAATCATCACCAATTTTGAACATGAGGGTGTATTTCCCGTACTTTTTTGATTTGCCAAATATATGAGAAGGCTGATTTGGATCTTTGATTACGGTTTTCAAGGTGATTTTCAAAGGAGCCAAAGAACTTTTGAATACCGCTGATTCTTCAGGATAACATCCACAAATCATTACTGAAGGGTCTAAAGGCAATGGGAAAGTATGAGGGAATTTCAAAAGCTCATTACTTGAATCAGCCAAATATTCTTTCAAGAATTGAACTTTCTTAGCTGTAGCTTCATTTTTTTTGAAAGTGGATCTCAAAAGTTCAACCAATTGAGTTAATTTCTTGATAAACCATACTTGACGTTTAAGGTAACTATAATTAGGTAATCTATTAGTATTGGAATAACGTTTCAAGTTTTCGATATACTTATTCAAAACAATAGAATAAATTTGGACAGGTGAGCCATCATTGGAGTTCAATTGATCTTCATTCTCTACTTTCACATACCAATAGAAGAAATTACCCAATTTTTCATTTTCAATGGATTTTTCGATCAAAAATGATGCCAATGGGGATTTTTCCAAGATCTTATTGTCTTTGGTTTTGTTGTTCTGAGCTTCCTCATCGTCATCATCTTCAATACCGGTGATATCCTTATTCATTTGATTGGTTTCAGTATCTACAATGATGGACTCATACTTCATGGCTTGAACTAATTGCAATAAATATAAAAGTAGTTCATCTCCACTTGCTAGTCTTAATCTATCAACCGCAAATAATCTTAATTGTCGTACGTATTTGAAAATCTTATCAATTCTCGACTCTTTGTCCTTATTAGTCTTATCTTCCTCTTGAACATTAATTCTTCTCACTAAAGTGAAAGGATTGAAATAACTACTTAAAAGTTCCAATGCATCACCAATTTGAATTTTATCTACCGACCAATAATATGGTAAGATCTCTTTGAAAGCATGGTCAATTTCATAATCATTATCCCAGTTTATTGATTTAAGGAACTTTGTCAAGAATTTCTGATTGGTTTTGGATACTTCAGTTTTAGGGAAATCCTTATTATCGGTATTAGTACTGGTAGAATTATTTTTGGAGAAATAGTAACGAAACTTCCAGATCAAATTCTTTTCATTATCAGTTAATTCAATATTTGAAGGTTTATTCAAAATCTTCATGAGCTCGTCTCTCAATTGAGGTGTTGGTTTGAGTTCTTTATCTAATAAAATACTGTTATTCATGTTTCTTTCTAGTTTATGGTACTTGAATTCAATAGGATCCATATTCTTATTTACAGGCATGTAGCCTGTTTGATTGGCCCCATTGGCCATCTGGGGATTATTCAACAACGACAAATTGGTATAATGGTAATCTGGATCAAATACTTTAGTACCAGTAATATTCACTTTATTGATGATGAAACCGGTATTATTGAAATCTTCCTTTTTATGTTTTATAAATTCATTCACAATGGCTTTGGTATCGGGAAGTGAATATGAAATGTCAGAATATATTATGGGTAATTCAAATTTGGGAAATTCAATATAAAGGTAGTGAGAATAATTCTCGTCGGAAACTTGTTCTTCCGTTCGATTTTTTTCGACCAAGGGCATGGATAACTTGTCTAGCCATTGGATTTTAGGAAACTCGCCATTTTCATATTTAATCACCTTCAGCTCGAGGCTGCTTAAGTCACTATTACCAGAATAGTTTACTTCTTCATCAAGTATATTTGTCGTTCGTATAGGTATCTTCTGAAGTCCCTTTCGAAGGGAATAATCATCATGATTGAACAAAGATATGAATCCTACACCAAAGACTGTAGGTTTGGTTTCGACAACTTCGAATATTGTTATCTTTAAGTATGAATCCATGGATACTTGATTATAATTGATAGGTAATTTCATCACTTTATTCCATACTCTTTTGTTATTGGAGAAACTATAATACATTGATTGGGTGGGAATGGTTAAAGGATTTTGATTGTTACCACCAATGACTTCGATTTTGACATATAAATCGGAATTGATTTGAATATGGGAATATTGTTTAAATATTGATGGATCAGAATATTTCCCTGAAGGTTTAGCCAATTCATTTAACACTTTAGCATTGTTTCCTGGTTGTAAGTATCCCAACTTAAGGTGTATGGGAATTCTTAAATCCTTAGAAACTGCAAAAGCTGCCACATTATTTGACTGATTAGGCTTCTCCATAGTTTATTTTAGATAGGACTTACCAGCGCGATATAAAAGCCAATAGATCACGTGAGGTATACTTGTTGCCCTTACTAAGAAAAGATTACTATTTCGGGTGAGAAGCTGCATACCTTGCGACATAACTTTTCAGAGGTTGAATCACTGGAGGTATATACATTAATCTCTATTTTGACCAAACCAAGTATATTTATTCCCTTCATTCTTATAATCAGGAGGAGATTCATCATCAGAACTTATCAGTTCATTAGAATCACTTTCTGAATCCAAATTATAGAACATTGATTTTGATTTTGTAGGAACTAATGGAGGTCTTTGGAAAGTTGGTTTTTCGGGTTTTTCATTATCATTATTAATAGGTGATGCTTGCAAGGGACTTGAACTTTCTTGCTTTTTGGAGGCATAAAATCCAACTGGAGTTGAGTTCCCTTCACGATTGATGGGTTGGTCAACATTCATTACTGAAGGATAAAATTTGATTGAATTCTTTCTTGACCTTGTTCTATGAACTGTAGGAGAAGGCTGTTTTCTTTCTGTTCTATTGTTACCAAATGAAAGGGAATATTTTTCTTCTTCATTATCGGAACTACTGTTGATTGATTGTTGTTTTTGATACATGGCCAATAGATTTTTCCCACTATTCATAGCTAACTCTTGTTTATACTTGGCAGATTTTGACCTTGATAATAATGATGTTGGTGGAACATTTTTATGAGGACTCTTTTTAGTATTTAATTCTTCTATTATAGCCAAATCATTAGTATCAAGGTTTGAAATATCAATATCTTCATAAAGGGAATCATTACTCAAGGTAGAAGTCAAAACTTTTGGTGAAGTAGTTAAATTAGTAGGGAAATAACTTTCTTTCATTGATTGACCTTGATTTTGACCAGTTACCACGATAGGATTGGAAATAGCCCTTTTGTTGGTATGAGTAAAGAATTTGGGGAAATCTGTAAGGGAAGAATTGTTTGATGAAGGGTTAGACCTTTGGAATTGTGCCAAATTAACTTGGGAGTTAACTTTTTGATTCAATTGATGTAAAGGAATCTCAGCTGTAGTAGAATATTTCAAATTCAAAGGTCTATGATCTTTGTTATGAGATAATTTACTCAAATCAATGACAGAATTATTCCTGGTAGGTTCAGAACAGGGAGAAACTTCGGGGGTTACAGGTCTGATTGGTGGTTTGGTAATATCGTACTCATTTTTGAAGATACCAGTACCCATCATCTTCAATTTGAATTCACTTTTAATAGCGAAAGTCTTAAGCTTTTGAGGTGACCAATCTTTAGCTGCTGGACAAATAGGATTATCAATAATATGAGGATTCTTATGATTATCTTTAGTGCTGGATATTTGAGGAGCTTTGGAATCTAAATCTAAATGTAAAGATTCACAATTAGCCATTTGATAAGATTGAGAAGTATGAGGGATTTTGAAAGAAGGTCTTGGTTTATCTTCTTTCTTAGTCTCATTGGCTTTCTTAGGATTCAATTCGTCTCGTTTGATAAAATTGGTTTTATAATATACGATATCAGTTTCGAGATTAAGTGAAGTATCAATAGCATTGAATCCGAATAATCCTAAAGAATCCTTCATTAGACTCCAATTATAATGAGGATCTTCGTCTTCATCACCTTCCAAATCAACTTCATTACCATCATCATCAACTCTGATTTTTCTAGCAAAGTTGATTTTAGCTTCGGGTATTTCATCAAATATTGGATGGTTGACAAAATATGATAATATATTATTAATAAAGTAACCATGACTTACAATAATCACAATATCTTGATTCTTGATATGAGTTGGTTTATCATAAGTGGCCAATAATCGTTTGAAATACTCCTTACAATTGTCCTGGTAATCCTTATAACTCAAATCAAAACCATTGTAATGACCTAAAGTTACACAAGGTCTAAAATTAGAACAAGCAGATCGATTTTTCAATAATTTGATATTAGGAGTATACATCTGATAAGCATCATTAGAATCAATGAAAGGGGGCTTATTTTTCATCTTATCATGGATCCATTCACTTAAAGCGAAATCTCCTAATAATTGAAATCTTATCTTATAGTTAGGATACTTAGCTTCAAATTTTGGTTTCAAATAAGTGATTAATAAGTCGGCAGTTTGACAACATCTCAAGTAAGGGGAGAAATGGATGAAAATATTTTTCTTCAAAGTTTCTGAAGTCTTTGGTTTGAAAGCTTTGGTACTTTCAACTATATCATCACAGCATTCTTCTATTTGATCTTGGGCAGAAATGGCTAATGATGGATCATAAGGTTTATAATCTTCAAACATGGGTTTAGCATTTGCATCTAACTCTAATGCATGGTCTATTCTCTGACCATGCCGCATGAAATACAACTCAGTCATGGTTATTCGATATTAATCATCTACTTGATTGGGATAATTCGATAATGATTCAAATAATTTCGATGACTAAGTTCCTTACAAAGTCAAATATTGGGTTTAATATGATTGCCTATGTACTTTAACCACTATTTCTGGAATAATATCTATAATTAACTTAAAAAAATCGTCGATGATTAGATTTGTCGATTAGTGTGAATTTTTGAACTGGGTGTGATGTAATGCGACATCAGTTTGTTGATGGTTCGCGAACAAGTCAAAACCTTAGACTTGAAAATATCCTAGTTTTGTGTAAAGAGAGAGTATAAAGTAGTACTTTTTCCTAATCATAGAGTTTACAAATCGAATTAATCAGTGGAATAACAAATTAGATCCTTGAAAAGCTCAAATTATACTGGATAAAACCCCATTTATAGGGTTAAGAATGTTTGATCGAAATGATGTTTTAAACGTTATTTATACCCTTCCCGTGCTAATATCATTTCCTATCATACTTATATCTGGGAATTTGATCTATGTTACTGATTTAGTTTCAGACCCCATTTCAATCATATCCGTAAGTTCAATTGCCCTTGTTCTAGCGAGTTTATTATCATTCATAGTGGTAGGAATAGATAGATTTCAACCTTTTAATATCCAAAAAACTGGCAATGGCTTTAATTTCCTTATATCCATAGGTTTCATTTATGTGTCAACGCATTTATTATCCATCAATAGACTTTCAGTACTATTATTATCATATTTTATCAATTCTTCAAGTATTTATTCCATTTTAATGTTTGCTTTTGATATTTATTTTAATGTTTCTTCACCACAAAATTTATTCAAGATTGTTTGTGGATATGTTTTGACAATAGCTGCATTCAAATTATTCAAATTTTCTATTGATGTCAAAACTTCAGTTGGATGTCTTTTGGTCAGTTTAGTTATTGGTGGATTTACTGTCACATCCAATCATATAAACCTATCAATGGTTACTATAAATTTAATCATATCCACAATATTCTTATTTTCATTCAATCTTTCCAATTTCCAAACCAACTTGAATCCTCCAGTATTATCTGCTATTACCTTGGTAGTTGATTATTTATATCCTTTAAGAATAATGAATTCCTATTTAATGTTTGATCTATTCTTGCCTTTCTTGATCAGAGTAGGTGACTTACAAAATGTCAAATCTTCAAATTTTAAGATCTTGAATGAACTTTTAAATCATTCTGATACAAAAGCTATACTTTATTTTTTACTTTTGAATACAACCTTTATGTTCATTCAATTGATTTACTCATTTAGATCAGGATCTTTAGGATTATTCTCAGATTCTTTACATATGGCATTGGACTGTTCATCTTTGGCTCTTGGTCTTGTTGCTGGTATTTTATCCAAATCTCCAATCGATAAAAATGGTAAATATCCCTTTGGATACTCAAGGTTTGAAACTTTGGCAGGGTACACCAATGGTACATTATTGGTGGGGATTTCTGGAGGTATCATTTTTGAAGCTTTTACCAGATTAAGTCATCCAGTGGAATTGAAAGAAACCAATGAATTAATAGTGGTATCGATTCTTGGGTTGGTGGTGAATTTGGTAGGTATTTTTGCTTTCCATCATGATCATGGTCACGGACATAGTCATGGTCATAGTCATGGTCACAGTCATAGTCATAATAATCAAGATTCCAAAGAGCATTCACATGAACATTCTCATAGCCACTCTCATGAACATAGTCACCAATCTCATTCTGAACCTGAACATGAAGAATCAATGAATGATAACATGAGAGGTATTTTCCTTCATATTCTTGCCGATACTTTAGGATCTGTTGGAGTGGTGATTTCAACAATATTAACCAAAATATTCAAATGGGAAGGTTTTGATCCAATAGCTTCCTTAGTTATAGCTATTTTAATCTTCCTTTCAGCTACTCCATTAATTAAATCCACTGCCTCGGCATTATTGTTATCATTGGACAGTAGAAAAGAAGCAAAAATTCAATCTATTCTCCAGGAAATTACCCTCATAAAAGGTGTGAAATCTTATACTGCCCCTAGATTCTGGACAATCGAAAATGGTATCAATGGTTATATCCATATACAAGTCTACAGAGGTGAGAATTCATCTAACATTAAAAAGCAAATAGTAAAATTATTTGATAGTCACAATGTTTCTTTGATGATACAAATGGAATTTGATTATGATTCATGTTGGTGTAGAATCAACCCTAATGATTTAAGTAATTATACTACCTAAACAAAACTTGTAATATATAAATTCTTCGCGTTACGTAAGCGCTTATGTCAGCAGCCTCTTCTCAAAAATCCGCACACAAAATTTCTTTCATTACTAACAATGTCAAGAGTTGGAGTGTTAGCTTTAGGACCCGCTGGAGTAGGGAAATCTACTTTTTGTAATGCTATCATATCACACATGCAAACCATAGGTAGAAGAGCACATATCGTCAATTTAGACCCAGCTGCTGAAGCAACAGAGTATGAATTTACCATTGATATAAGAGATTTGATTTCTTTACAAGATGTTATGGAAGAAATGGATTATGGTCCTAATGGGGCATTAATCTATTGTTTTGAATATTTAATGAATAATTTAGATTGGTTGGATGAAGAAATCGGTGATTATAATGATGAATATTTGATCTTTGATTGCCCAGGACAAATCGAATTATATACTCATATTCCTGTTTTACCTAATATTGTCAAACATTTAAAAAACCAGTTAAATTTTAACTTATGTGCTACTTACTTATTAGAAGCTCCATTCATAATTGATAATTCTAAATTCTTTTCGGGTGCTTTAAGTGCCATGTCAGCTATGATCTTATTGGAATTACCTCATATTAATATTTTATCCAAGATTGATTTAATTAAAAACGACTATAATAAGAAAAAATTAAAACAATATTTAAATCCTGATCCTTTACTTTTGGCCAAAGAAGATGAATCCTTCAATCCAAGATTTTCAAAGTTAAATAAATCCATCGCTCAATTAGTCGATGATTTTGGAATGGTACAATTTTTACCTTTAGATTGTAATAAAGAAAGTGATTCTGTCGCTACAATTTTGAGTTACATAGATGATGTTACACAATGGTCTGAAAGTCAAGAACCAAAAGAACCAAAAGATGAACTTGAAATCGAAGATGATGAGTAATGAAGTGTATATATTAATATAGATATAATTTTTTTAAAATACCTAATCAAATTAATTAAAATGTATAAAATCACGTGATGTTCTATTTTGTCTACAACAATTATCCCAGGAAATCTTACATACAAGAAAGCCTGTGTGGCGTAATGGTTAGCGCATTTGACTTCTAATCAAAAGATTCCGGGTTCGAGTCCCGGCATGGGTTCTTTCTTTTCTTATAAGCGGGTTTAGCTCAGTTGGGAGAGCGTTAGACTGAAGATCTAAAGGTCCTGTGTTCGATCCACAGAACTCGCATATATTTTTTTAATCTTTTTGGATCTTTATTTCGATATTGTTTATTGTAAAGGAACATAATATGTTTTGTGCAAGAGAATGTCAATAAATAATATATTAAAAAAAACTCATTCATTTCACATCGTCAATATTTCTTTTAACGAAATCTCTCAAATCAGTAAATTCTTTCAAGTAATTATTCAAACTATCTTCTCCTACCACTAGTCTGAAATTACAAAGAAATAAGAATCCTACTTCAATCCTATATAAATCTTTTAAAGTTACACCTCCTACTGTAGCGAAAGTCTTTTGTTTTTGGTAGATATCTTCTAGTTTCTTTGTCAGACATCTTATCAGGGCCAATATGATTCTATGGACATTACATAAAGTTAACGGTAAAACATCATGAAGAACACTCAATTTAAAAATCAACAATGTTGCATGGATATAGCACGATACTGAAGTTGAAGGGGAATAAGTCTTAATTCTATTCAAAAATTGTTCAATACTCAAATCAGGTGGTTGAATAAGATTAAAATTTTTTATGACGTGTTGGTTTTGTTCGACAATTTTCATATTTTGATAATACTGATATTCTTCAGTTATATCATCAAAATCAATAGTATTTATATCATCAATATTTGTTGATTGTAAAAGTTGCTCTATAGTGATTAAATCATGCTCTTCGATGAGGGAATCTGGGGTACGTTCTTTCAAAGCAAAGTCATTATCTACTTTCAACACTTTGGCTGGTGGTGAGTTTGGTGGGGTAGGTTTTCGTATATCGGTAGTACTATCTTCACTACTACTTGAATCTATAGTAATACTTTGTTGTCTATGATGATCTAGATCAATATTTCGTTTCTTCAATTGTTGACGTCTAAACTGTTGTAATAAATCTCCATGATCATTAAGTTTGATGATATCTTCTAAACTATGTAATAAAATAGCTATGGCTTCAACAAGATGTAAACTATTTATGTCTTTTACATTATCCCCGATATTTATTGCTAGATCGTGAATATTCACGTCATTGATCTCTTTGGGTTCATCGGTGAATGTCTCTTGATGAATCTTTAAAGGTAATTCCAAATTCTCCGACATTTATATACCAATGGTGGTGTAGAACAATAACTAGTGAGGTTGTTAAACTTAGATTTTACCAGTTATCTGTGTAAGGGAATAATAGTATTGTGCGATTTTTCTAATCCTCGCTTCAGCTGCAAAAAAAAAAAATGCCATGTCTACCACTGATTTCTTGTCCTCGGAAATAATGGGAATGAGTTGGTGGTTACGAGAATGTTACGGGGATTTGGGTATGGAGATGAGGACGTTGAGGTTGGGTTTATGTAAGGGTAAGGGTCTTTTGATGGGTGTAATCACTTTGTTACATTTATCAGATGTGCCTTAGCCACATATGGGTCGAATGACATGTCACAAATTCATGTAAAAGTATAGCACAAGACCCCAAATTAACTGATTCCTCAAATATCAGTTGGATCATAGCCATTGAATTACAACTGGAACTCTCCAAATCGCTTTTGAATCAACTTTTTGAAACCTCCCTCGCTTTCTATATCAATTAAACCCCCTCGCTTTGGGTCCGTGAAGGGGCGTGTGGTCTAACGGTATGATTCTCGCTTTGGGTCCAGATCTGATTTAACCATTGGTCGATGAAGATCAAGAAACAAACTTGCGAGAGGTCCAGGGTTCAACTCCCTGCTCGCCCCTCTTTTTTTTGGTCTTACTCTTAAACTAGCCCGAAATCATCATGTTTCCCCTAAGAAGCTTGAAATTTTAGAGATTAAGTTCCTATCTTTATACATTTTTATATATTAAACCCTTCTGTTACCAGAAAAAATTATGTGTTTTATTATCTACGACTCCTCTTTCCAAAAGCGTTTTGATTATCTTCACTTGAGGCTAATTGTCTTTTGTTACCATTTTTAGCAAAATATTCCTTCTTACGTTCTCTTTGTTTGTCCTTCTTGGCCTCTTCTTCTTTAGCTATTCTTTTCAATCTATCTTGGAATTTTTCTGATTTTTTAGCTTTCCTCTTAGCATCCTTTTCATTTCTTACAGTAGCAATTTTTTGCATCAAATCTCTAGCTTTCTTCTCTTCACCATCTAAAACAACTGCTCTCTTAGCCATGTAAGTCTTCTTCTTTTGAGGTTTCATTTCATGAATTTGGGATTTGAATGGTAAAGCACCTTTCAATTGTTTTGGAACTCTTAATGGATTGAATTTTCTTTCTTGTCTTTCAATCTTCTTATAAGCACTATCGGCATTCATTGGAGTTTCTATCTCTCTTTCTGCTCTAACTTGTCCAGTCAATTTCATACCTTTCCATTGATTATGATTTTTCAATAATAATGATGTAACAGGATTATAAAATTCTTTGACTTTGATGGTGTACCAACCTTTCAATACAATAGTATCAGACATTAAGATTTTATCTTCAAAAGTAGCTCTGAAATGACCATCAGATCCTAATTCTTTCTTTATTTCCCCTCTGATACCTGAAACAGTTTTCAATCCCATACCTTGGAATCTGATTACTTCCAAAGCTGATGAGAACATATCTTTAATAAAAGCTGTGTTACGGAAGATTTTATAAGCATGACCAACCAATTTGATTTTTTTGGTGATATGAACAGTGGAATCTAATTCTTCAACAATACCAGTAGTAGCAATTCTGAATGAACCAGTAGTTTGTTCGGTATCAACAATATTAAAACCAACAAATGGGGTATTAGGAGCCACTAAAGGACCATAGAATGATGCAAAACAATAAGCATGTTCTGGAGTATATTTCAACATTCTATTACGAGTTCTAGAATCGGTTGTGGTATAAATAGGAATTGTTTGAAATCTTCTCCACCCTAATGATAAAATCAATGGATCATGGGATTTCAAAATTTTCTTATGCCAACGATGTTTTCTAATTCTAACATTCATAATACCAAATCTTGATTCGGTAGCTAACAATCCTCCTAAGATGATAGGGTATTCAGGATTGAAATTTTCAATGAATTCACAAGGAATTTTTTCAAAGACTATCTTGACATAAGATCCTGATTTATATCCTTCGATTCTTATTCTTGTTTCTTCGTCCATTTCAGAGAATTCGGCTTTGTTGATTTCTAATTGCTTAGCCATCTTATTTTTTTGCATCTCATACCAAGTATCGGCTTCAGTCAAACCTTCTGGATCATCAGCTCCAAATTCTCTATCTTCTTCATCTTCGAATTGCATTTTAAGTTTAGCTTTCTTTTCTGCATTCAATTTTCTTTGTTCTTCAATGGTTAATTCTTCAGGTGGTTCATTATCTTCAGCTTCGAATTTGGCGAAATCATCATCACCCTCTTCGTCCTCATCTCGTTCTTCGCCTTGTTCTTCTTCCTTACTTTCACCTCCTTCGTTTTCCAAATCTTCGAAATCCCCGAATACTTCTTCTTCATCATCACCTTCATCTTTCTTATCGTCAAGTTTAGGTGCTGTCAAGAATCTATCTTTCAATATATTGTACCCGTTATTTCCATCTTCAAGATTTGTTGCATCAAACATTTGTCTTAACTTTTCCACGTCAGGATAGTTCTCCTTTTCTTTAACTTCAATGACCTTGGCTTCCTTCTTCTTAAAAAAATTATCATCATCTTCTTCTTCGATTTCTTCTTCTTCTTCTTCTTCTTCTTCATCCTCTTCACCATTTACTTGTTTTTTCCATAACTTGAAAGCTGTAGAAGGATCTATACTATCATTATAAATCAATTTATTGATATCAAGTCTTCTTCTGACGGAGCCTTGTAATTTTTTGGCGGTTTGCCTATAATCATTGTCATCATTTTCATAAATATCATTGTCATCTAATGAAAATTCTGAATCTGATTCCAAATCATCTCCATTTGCTTTATTCTTGAAATCTACTTCAATCATTTTAGGATTTCCATTATATTCGGCATCTTCAAAATCTTCTTCGTCGTCAGTGGACAATTCTTCACCTTCATTAGATTCTTGAATGGATTTTCCATAAATCCTTGGTTGTCTCATCGAAGTCCTTCCAGTGCTTTGCAATTCTTCTTCGACATCCAAATCCATTTCTTCTTCGTCGTCTTCCTCTTCTTCATCTTCATCATCTTGATTGATTTCTTTGGAGGAAGAAAACAATTTTAATCCCGGACCTTCTTCAAATCTTTCAGTCATGGTTTTTTGAACTTCCTGTAAATCAGTGACTAATCTTTCACCTTCACCCATTTCTTCAGACTTTACAAAAGTTTCTTTATCACCAATATCGATATAAACAGCATCTTTGTCAACTAAGACCCCACCTACGTCTGACATAGGAGCATAAATGATTTTTTGTTTATCTTCTAATCTTTTACGTCTTCTTACAGTTTTAGCGATAGGTTCACCATTTTCAGCCATTTGTTTAGCCTTTTCTCTTTCGATTTCTTCGATTTTTTGTTCGAAGTATGGTGTTGGACAAGGATCAGGTAATTTTTCAACTGAATGAACATAATAATCTCCAACTCCCGCTATGTGTATATGAGCATTTGATGAAGGTAATGGTGTTCCATGTAAATACCCATAAATAGCTACCTTTCTATCACATTTAGGATGTTCAGCAATTGTTTGTGGATGAGTTAAATCAGTAATTCTATCTGCTAACATATAAGGATGTTCATTTCTCCATTTTAAAGGTCTGAATTTCATTACTGATATGAATCTGGTTAAATTAAGAATTTCTCTGTCGGGATAACGACCATTTAAAACCCCTGATAAATAGAATAATTTAGCTCCTTGATAAACTTCAGTCCAAAATCTATGTTTCAATCTTTTCTTTGAAGCTCTTAAAGTAGCTTGAGATTTGAATAAATCTAAATGTGTAGCTACACCCAAAACTCTAGGCATACCATGATGTTGAGCTATATTTAAGAATTCCATTGTTTCCATTTCTAAACCAAAATTTCCATCAACTAATAATAATACTAAATCAGCAATTTTGGCAGCATCAGTCATTGAATTAAGATCATTATTAACTTCCATAAAAGTTAATCTTCTTCTCTTACCACTGACAACCGTTATAGGACCTTTAACTTCATTTAATGTGGTTTTAGTTAATCTTCTAACTAATGATTTAATTAATGTGGTTTTACCAGTACCTGGAGGTCCTACAACAGCAACAATAACTGGTGGTGGATCATCATCTGGAGTTCTATCTACCATAGGAACATGCAATTTTCTTTCATTGACATCAGAAGATCTCATAGCCATTCTTTGTAATTTATTTGGAGCATTAACTGCAAATGCTTTGGCATTTTGACCATTCATATGTAATTTCTTCTTCGCCGTGGTTCTCTTGGACCCACCACGATGTGATTTGTTAGATTGTTGAGTATCCATTGTGTGTTATGAGTATCAATCTAACAATTTACTTTGGGGAGAATTACTTGAAGTATATGATATTTGTGATCTAAGATGAAAAAATTCTATCTCTTCTCAAAACTGAGATAAATTCGAGATGCCGCGCGTGATTTGTCACGTGCAAAGTAGTGTGACTTAGTGAGGGTCAATGGCTGCAAAAACAAAATAATGGACCACAAAATGAAGTACTTTTTAATGGTTAGTTGTTTATTGACTTTCGTGTTAGGGGATAATTTCTGTGGAGGAGGTAGCTTATTACTGTTTAGTGGGTTCAAAGTTCATCGTCAGTATAGAGTTACCGGGATGAAACCATCATCTCAACAATATCTTATTCTTAGTCATTGTGATCATGGTAAAGTTGATTATCAAAAAGTAATGAAGGTTAAATCTATAAACAAAATCGACTGGGAACGTCCTATATGTATGTTGAAACCAAGATTAGGGAAAACTTTGAATAATCCAATAGGAGACACTGTTCAAAGGTTTGATAGACATCCTAGAGAATTGAATGCAGAGCTCAAAAAAGTATTTGGACGTAAAGGAGGAGGACCAAGAGTTTCAAAGTTCACTAACAGGTCCCTTAAACAAAGGTTTCATGATATCAAAGATCACTTAAAAGGAAAAATTAAGAAATTTATTGAACAAAATATACCCATTTCAAGTCCTGTCATTTATACTAGTCCCACTACTGAGCAACATATGAATGATATTTCGAATTCCTCTTTACAAGCTTCCATGGAATGGGAATCAAGAAATCTAGCATGTTTCAAATTATCTAGAAGGAAGAAATATGCTAAGAGAGACACCACTTTCTATATCCCTCAAACATTTATAGGTGGGATATTCGAATGTTTGATTTCTCCTCAACAAAGAGCCTCTGTGTTTCAGAATTTCCTGTTGGAGAAAAGTTTAGATGAACTACAATTTGATTGTGATGATTCCATGTCTATACCATTGTTACCTTTAATAGCAGATTATAATGGTAAGCAATGGTGGGAATTCAATAAGAATATCTTCAACCCGTCAATAATTCAAACTATACCTTTCTTAACCACTTCCAGTCCTTTGAATATGAGATTTTCTTTGACAGAAACCCCCGATATGTCTAAAGATACTTGGGCTACTAAAATCAGAGTTAATGAAGATTATGATTATACGGAAGAAGATATTCATTACATAAGTCAAGCTTTGGCATTGACTTCAGATTATATATTTAAACTTTTTGAACCTATTGATTTTGGTCAAATCTTGAACAACGTACCTGACATCTCCCAGTACAAAATAGCAGGGAAACCCCTTGTTGAAAATGATTTGGTTATATCTACCATTGAAAAATTCTCCATTGATCAAAAATTAAGTATTCTTCTTAGTATTAAACCAAAGAAATATCTTCCAACCATCAGTAAGCTTCAGAAACTTTGGGATTCTTCCCTAGAGTAAAACTTTTCATACATTTTTTTCTTTATAACTAATTTACATAATCATATAACATCATTTCTACCGGTAGGAGTATGAATATAACCCGAATAATTTGATTCATTTCTATTATGAGTTAAATTTGGTTGAGGAACATCATCATCTTCATCAAGATCTATTTTATCACTTAATCTTGTTAAATTGCCTTCATCTTCATTTTTCTTGGTTTTCTTTTTTGATAAGCCTCTTTTTAAACTTCTTAATCTTGAACCAAAAGTTCTAGATTCATCACTTGAAGTATAACCAGTATCTTCATTTTCATTATCAGCAACCTCAATATCGGTTGATTTTTCATGATTTAAATTTGGAGTTAAAATATCAGTTTGGGAATTTTCATTGGAATTTGAACCTGTTTGATTGTTTAAATTATACATTTCTTCGGCCCAATTAGTATTATGATCTTGAGCTGCAACTCCTAATGCTAATAATTCATTATTACCACTAGTTTTTTCATCATTGAATTGAGATTTTCTTTTAACTGATGACATTCTTTGGAATGATGTTCTATCATCTCTAGCAGGAGCAAATCTTGCATCAGGATTCTTAGAAACCACACTCAAAACACTGAAAACAATAATAAAAATCAATAAAATTAAAGCGAAAGCTGCATTTAAAATAAAGAAAAGCCATGCCATAATTGAAGCCACAGGTGCTGGTTGACCAAATAAATCGGAAAAGAATAAAAACATAAAAGAATTTAATGTTGTAACAATTGACATACAATAATTGATAATATTGGTAGGTTTATTTAAATAAGGACTTTGAATAAATAAATAAATTGTAAATGCTAAATCAGCAACAAATACAACCACTACCGATACTTTAGCTTGAGGTTGACATAAAGCAATGAACAAACCTTTGATGAAATTATAACTAATAATAACACTACCAAACCAATATTTTGATGCATTAAACATTGTGTAAACAAATCCATATTTATTTAAGATATTGGAATCTCCATATAATAAAGCTGCTGGATTATTAAATTCTTTGACGGATTTCTTTCCAATAACAATGGTTCTATAACAAGACCAACCAATTACTCCTAAAGCTAAGATTAAGAATAAAATAGCTAACACAATAACAGCAGGGGAATCATTTTGAGTAAATTCAAAAAATGATAAGATAACTAATTGAGTAAATCCGATATAAGTATATCTTAAAATGGTACCTTTAATGATAGAAGAAAATGATCTTCTAAAATGATTATAAGAATTAGGATTCATCTTTTTAGTATAAATCAATAAATCAATAACTTGTTTAAAAACAACCAAAAGGAAAACTAATAAATAACCAATGATAATAAAGAAAGTAAAACCTGTAACAACAATTGAAGTTGGTTCAATTTTTGAATTATAACCCATTCTTTTAATACCTCTTAAAATGATTAAATTATCATTTGATGATAAAGTAAAATCTAAAGCTCTTTTATAAAATTTATGAATATTATCTAAATGATCATAAGCTCTTTGAACTAAAATTTGTTTAGTTGTACCTTTGAAATATAAAGTTGGAGTACCACCAGTACTTTGAACATACCATCTAAAAATATCTTGCATGAATTGAACTCTAATTAAACCCATTGACCAAGCTAAATTTTCTGCCCAAGCTGAAGCAATTGGGGGTAATCTTTCAACACTTTGCATACAAACAACCACAACTGATTGGAAATATAAGAATAATGAAACTGCATTGGCAGAAATATGGGAAGCGGCATTGGAATTACCAAATGTTGATAATAATGCAGCAATTAATAATCCTAAACCTGCAATACATGCAGTTGCCCATTTAGCTCCTGTTTGAGCTACAGTTTTACCATTTGAAAATGATGCTTGTAAACAACTAATGGTTTCTCCACTATCGGCATCTTTGATAGTAACTCTTGCAATGGCATCAATATCTGGAACTGTATAAGCAATACCTGGAATTAAATCAGCTGTTGATTTATCAATATATTGAATCGAATCAATTTGTAAAGGTCCAGGAGTTAATGGACAAAATTGTTTCCATCCAATATTACATAAATCAATATCTGTTTCTAAGATAACAAATCCATAAGCAAATACTTGAATATGTCCAATAACTTTCCCACTGATTTCAGTGGTCAAATCAACATTATATCTTAAAGACAAGTCATCAGGATTAAAAGTAACATTGAAATATGTTGGTGTAATTAAGTTATCATTACTACAGGTAACTAATGAAGTGGCTAAAAGACTTCTAGTGGCTATGATAGGTGTTAATAAACATAAGAATATGGTGAATACATTAATTCTCATCTTCATGGTCAGGGTTGAATTCTAGATCAAAAATGTGAGAATTCAATATCTCGGTCTTTTAAGGTATAAGTCTTTCTTCAATTAAATATTAATTAACTTAAACTAAAATGAACTTGAACTTTAAGAAACTTGATTTTTTGTGATGATAGAATTTTTTTTCTGGTTTCACTTACAAGAAAAAAAGAAAAAAAATTTCTACGTAATACAGGATAATAAGCCTTCTGTTGATTCTGAAAAATTTTCTTCCTCGCGACACGTTAAATTTAGAAACGAGGGATAACGTGTAGTGAGCTGCGTATGAGTAAAGGATGATTTAGCGGAAAGAAGTGTGAGAGTGAACAATATGTCATAGAAAGTATCATGCACTGACTGTTATGTTGATTGGGGGGTTTCATAACTTCAAGGGCTGAGCTAATGGTTATTGTTTAGGGGGCCATGTAAAGTCGTATATGAATGTCAATAAACAAACAAATACGAGATTATGCGATATATGGGTGATTACACGATGATCCTTAACCATCGAATGTTGATTTGTTATTGAGCAGAGCACTTTACGATGTTGTGAGATTGGTACCATTGTGAAAGATTTGGTAGGTCTGGTACTAAATGAAGAGTTTTGGAAGGTCTAATACTAGTTAAGAGATTTGAAAGGTCTAGACCGTATAGCGGAATAAGTGGAATTGGACTTCGATTATTTGATCCCTCGCACAGCTGAATGGCAACATGTATGATGTTATTACTAGGTGTGGATCAGCTAAACCTAAATCTGTGTGACAAATTTTATAACTCCGATCTGGCTTTTTTTACTGTGTCTTCTCTTATGAACTACCATATTGAGTTTCAATATCAATCGTTCCGATGAACGAATGTCATTTCGATCTAATCCATAACCTATTTATTCGTATTTTGCATTTGTTTTCGAAGCATTCAACTTGCTGTCAACAAAACTTAATCAAATAGACTACTTGGTCACAAATCATATAAATACTACCTCCAATACTGTCTTTCATCAAATTGTCCTCTTCTTTTCCTGATCTTTGTTGACCATTTGTAATAACCATTCGATAGACTCCATGAACTTCATGAGTTTTTATTATTGATACATTAAATTTTAATTTATAAAAACGATTTCTAAGTGCTGTAATAGAAAGATAATAAACTTCGCAAAAATAACGAAATATTATAAGATTTCACCCATTCCACAAAAACGATAAACAATCATCAAATTATCACATCTATACACCCCAATATATAACATTTCACGTAATCATACCATTACTTACTACTAACGAACACAAATAAGCAAAAATAACATCTCCAAGTTTTGAATGTCGGATGTCGTATTCCAAGTTGCGACATTTTATGTGCAGGATTTTTCTGTGACGGCTGCAAAAGGGAGAAAGTCGATGATGAGTTGGTGAAAACATG